CACCTTCATCCCCTCACTCACCCTTACAGTCACACTCACCTTCAACCCCTCACTCACCCTCACCCTCACAGTCACACTCACCTTCAGCCCTTCACTCACCCTCACTGAACCTCACGGCCCTCACGCACTCACCGCCCTCACGGCCCTCACGCCCCTCACTCACTCATGGCCCTCACGCCACTCACCGCCCTCACGCCACTCACAGCCCTCACGGCCCTCACCGCCCTCACGGCCCTCACCGCCCTCACGGCCCTCACCGCCCTCACCGCCCTCACGGCCCTCACCGCCCTCACGGCCCTCACCGCCCTCACCGCCCTCACCGCCCTCACGCCACTCACCGGCCTCACGGCCCTCACGGCCCTCACGCACTCAGAGCCCTCACGCCACTCACCGCTCTCACCGCCCTCACGGCCCTCACCGCCCTCATGCCACTCACCGCCCTCACGCCCCTCACCGCCCTTGCGGCCCTCACACCCCTCACGCCCCTCACGCACTCATGGCCCTCGCGCCACTCAGGCCAGCTTCAGATGGGGCGATTTCGCCCAGAAACTTTACGTCGCAACACCAGCAACACGGGCCGCCCGCGGTCACACGCAGCAAACAATTGCTGCAATTTGCCATCGTCATCATAAAATTTTATTTTTCTTGCACTATTTAGACACAATTACGCTTTATAAACGTGTTTTTATGCATTTAAACCTCGTTAAGAATACTAATGCACCTTTCTGAAACAGTTTATTTCCCAAAAACGATCGATTTGAAACCAGAACCAAGTCTTTCGGTGTCATCATCACCGGCACGAGGTATCACGTGAAAATTTTGCATCCCTGATTGGATGCAGCCGCTTCAAACGTATTCGAATTGCTCCGAGTTGCTTGCTTATTTCGAGCCGGACCCGATCTCAGTAATTCGTGTCGATCTAGGGAAACCTAGAGAACAACCCGCCATTAACATCAAAATTGCTGAGAAAGATGCTCGATCTGAAGGTGGCCTCACGCACTCACAGCCCTCACGGCCCTCACCGCCCTCATGGCCCTCACCGCCCTCACGTACTCGTAGCCCTCACCGCCCTCACGGCCCTCACGCCACTCACTGCCCTCACGCCACTCACCGCCCTCACGCCACTCACCGCCCTCACGCCACTCACCGCCCTCACGCCACTCACCGCCCTCACGCCACTCACCGCCCTCACGCCCCTCACCGCCCTTGCGGCCCTTACGCCCCTCACGCACTCATGGCCCTCACCGCCCTCACGGCCCTCACGGCCCTCATAGCCCTCACCGCCCTCACGGCCCTCACCGCCCTCACGGCCCTCACGGCCCTCACCGCCCTCACCGCCCTCACAGCCCTAACGGCCCTCACTCACCCTCACACTCATGAATTTTCCTGGTTCAGAAACTCACTCACCCTCACCTCACCTGTGAAGATGAGGGTGAGTGAGGGTGAGTGAGGGCCCTCATGAGTGAGGTTTGCCGAGGTATGCGTGTATAGTAGCTGCAGTAACGGATCTTTGGTGAAAGTCGCCTTTCCGCCACCGTCTAACAAAGATGCGTTGTATGTTCCATGTTTAGCCCTTCAGTTTGTAGGCGCGAGGTCCCCTCATTAAACGCTTATTTGCGGCCTGCCTTACTTTACTTTGCACACTTTCCATCCATGACAATATCAGGCTCCGCGCGGGCGTCCCAAGCCAACACCGCTTAAAACACAAGGCCTGTGGATCACGTCATCGTTAGAGGGCTACCGACCAGTCCTAAGCGGCCAGCATACTGAAGCTTGACGACATGGAAGCAAACCGCCAGACGCGTCTGTTGTGGCGTATAGCCGCGTTTTAGCCGAGCGCTCGTGTGACGCTGGCGCGCGGGGACGCCATGACGGACGCGTCGCCCGCTTCGGGGGCGACTCTCATCATCCTTCAGAGTGTTCTCCACTTGGGGCGTGTCCGGGATAACTAACGGTGACGTCGTGCGCAGGCCTCGTCTTTAAGGTGGTATCACCATATCCCAGGGTCTGGGCACGTTTTGCCCGATGAAAAACGCTGGAAAGGTTACAGCTCGCTCTTGCGTAGCCACGAGCCAGTTCCAAACCCGTTAGTGGCATTCCACGACGTGCGCAATATTGCCGCGCAGCCGCAAGATACCGGCGCCTGTCGGAGGTGTTGCATTGTATTTGACTGAAGTGTCAGCTTGTTTGGAGCTCGAGGCGAGCCTGGAATCCGGCAAAAATATCTTAATGAGCAGTACATGTCGTGCGGATGATATTATCCTAGGCATGCCTAATGAAGTCCAACGTATCACACGCTAAATGTTATCTAACAGGTTTAAGTAACTACGGTATACCCTATCGAATTGTGCCGCGTATTATGCGGCAGTGTTTTTTTCCAATAATCCTGCCAGCTTTATCCTATGCGGAGCTCAAGTTCGTCTGGTTCTTTCGCCGGGGTTGTCGTGACGTCAGAACGCCGAGCTCTGATTGGCTCGATTGGAGGGATAGTAGGTACACCTCATGACAGCTTGCTTTGAGGTCTACCCACTATCCAATCAGAGCCAATCAGAGCTCAGCATTTTTTTGACGTCACCACAACCCCTGCGAAAAAAGCAGACGATCTTGCGCTCCACATAGGGTTGTTGCAGGAGACCATAATGCAACGCTACTACCGGTTCGTAAATCTCGCCGGAACCCGCCGGAATCCGTGTTGGGGGGAGGTTGAGGGAGGAGGGGGGGGCTTCGGGGCTTTATTAGAGCGCGCGTTTAGCCGCCGCTTTCGTGTCACGAGTTGTACCAGGGGGGGGGGGGGGGGAGGCCGCTTTTGCACCTCGGCGCTGAGGAACATGGCGGCGCCTGAGACACCTAAATTGTCGGCGGCCGCAACCTCGGCAGTAGCAAAACGTCGCCGCCCACGCCAGTACACCGCGGACGAACTATAGGGAAGCGGAAGGACGGCATTCATGCCTTTGCGTTCACAACTCAAAAGAAGCGCCTTGGTATCCTCGGAATATTTATATTAACTTTATGATTTCGGTAGAAGAAAGCTTCGTTTCCCAACTAAGGAATTATGGGCTGCATTTCGTGTCATGCGAGGAGTCTCTTTTGCGATTGACTAGGACAAGAAAAAATTCTGATATGGTTATACAAATATGGCTCTATGATTCTGCGACACAACTGCTGCTGCCATAAGACGCCGAATTCGTCCAATATCGAGCCAAGGCACAGATAGCAGGCGACAATATTTGTTTCAATTTCGAGTCAAACCGGAAGCGACGTCAGGTGCAAGAAGCCTACCTGACACCTCAAATAATGTCTGCGCCTTTCCTATTACGGAAACCTCGAAGAAAGGACGCACTCTGCGAGAAATAGAAGCAGGCTGTGGAATAAGAAAGAAAAAAAAAAGAAAAAAAAGAAAAAAAAAAGGAAAAAACAGGGTGAACATTTGGCGATTAGACAAATAGCATCGTCAGTTCATATGACTCAAGAGATAGACCTTCTCTTGGGTCGAAATTTGTTTTGGTCTGGTCTCCCACCCGAGACATCATAAATTCGTACTACAATATAAGAAGCAATATATTCAAGGGCTGCTTTACTTTGAGCTGAGGATGTGCGTTTTGTATACGAATTTAGCGACAGCAATTCTAATTTTTTGGCATAAAGCCCCCGGAGGAGCAAAGAAAAAAAAAAGAATATACTGCGAAAATGCGATAGGTAATGAAAGCTTAACAAGCACAGGGCCTGGCTTACTATGATTATCTTGCTTACTGATTTGTTCTTTGGTGTCCTTATCTGTCAATGCGGCAATATCAGTTGCTGCGAAGAGATCATAGCATGATTGAAACTAGAAACGTCCAGCGCTTCTCAAGTTGTGGACGACTTTACTCACTAGAAAAACCTGCAGGTCCCCTGGGGGCGTAAGTCAGTTCAAGGAAGACCAAAATAAGTACACGTCAAGCTTCTATTTTATTCGAGTTGGCGGACCGTACTCTAGGAGACTCATTTAAATAGGAAATTAACTTAATGTTTGCAGCAATTTGCGGCAAGCCCGAGATAAAAGCGTCGCTCGAAGTGGATGACAGGATCATCGGAGGTCAAGAGGCGGTGCCCGGCAGCTGGCCCTGGCAGGCAGCGCTGCACAAGTCACGCAAGGGCCTGAGTTGCGGCGGTGCTTTGATCAGCGCCAGGCACGTCATCACAGCCGCGCACTGCGTGTGGTACGTGAGATACTGCGGAAATTTCTAATTCATTGGCGAGGCGCATGTTTGGCAAGTTTTAAACAACAAAAACAGAAAGATCATCTTCAAAAGTGGGAAAGGAAGCAAAGTTTCTGCTTTTATAACGGAAGCCCCTACTAGAGTCAGTGACAGCTGTAGAAATGCGGGGATTTTTTTAAGCAGTCAGTTTGTGATTTTCTCTTTGGTATTCTTATCGGCTAATACCGGAATCTGACTGCGCAGAGATAACTAGATCTCCCGGATCCACCACGCCCTGCTTCCTTACGTAGTCCATGACTGCACCAGGGATGTGTCCATCGGTCCGTCCGTGCTTTCCGCGCATACTCCATGACGCGTGGCGTTGCGGTGTCGCCTAACCACGTAGAACGACGTCAGGTGACGTGGCGTCATTGTGTTACGTGGTCCAAAGGCGTGAACTTGCAACCTTACAAGACCTTAAATATCTCGAGCGAATTTAAACGAACCCTTCTAGTATACCGCCTCCTGTGCATTATAAAACTTTGTCAATAATGACCGGAATACATATTTTGTTTAATTCGGCAAAAATTGCGCGTGGCTAACTCAAAGCAATTTGCTACTCATAGAAAGATGAGCAGTAATGTAACAGTAGAAATTGATCGATGGAGGTGAAAGAAGCGATTTGCTCTGACATCGGCATTCACTAAAATAAGAAATTAACGGCGTGACGTACAATTAGGTTATTATCTTCCTGACATATAGGTCATAATTATTGAGTTAAAATATACATAACTTCTTTTGATGCTTCTTTCTTCTGCTAAGATGCCGTTAGAAGCCCAGCGCTTAATGAAGGTACAGCTGGGAAACCACAGAAACGACGTTGATGAACACGACGAGGTTTGGGCGGAAGTGGATGAGATTTGCGTTCATGCAGACTACAACGAGCGCCGAAAAACGGTGAGACGATAATCAATTTATGCGGAGGGCAAGTTCGTCTGCTTCTTGCGCAGGGGGTAGCGGTGACGTCAGAACGCCGAGCCCTGATTGGCTGATCGCGCCCCCCTATCTGAGCGTCGTCTGCTCCTTTGCAACGTCGTCTGCTCGCAACGTCGTCTGCGTCTGTCTTACCTTTCCTGCGACTTTCGGAAGTGCAGAGGCAGATTCACGAAATGATCTTACGCGAAAAATGTGCGTAAGGCAAAACTTAACAATAAATTCGTATTCACGAAACGAAATTTTCGTAAGTTTTGCGCAGGTTACGACGAAATCCTACGACAGCTCCAAAGCTGTCTTACGCACTTCTTACGATCAAATGAGCATGGCCGACAGCGTCGCGGTCGCGACGACCCACGGACGTTTATTTTTCTACGGGCGGTTTTCACGCGTCTCGACTTCAAGCAGCAGGAAAAAAGTAAAAAGTGTTTGAAACAGACCACGACGAACAAGAACGCTGGATCCACAAACACCCGGGAAAAGCTCCGACGGCCACGATTCCACCGAACACGACCAAGCGAGTACGGCAGTTAGGCCTAGCAGGCACTCCGCGACTCGGCGACCGTCTGCCCACGACCGGCTGGCGTGCTGATTGGAATATGCCCGCGCGACCTCTTGTGAACCCTTCCCGCATTATACTTTGATCGCTGATATCAATTTTAGATTAAGAGGTCAATTCCTTCCTCTTGTTATCTCCTTGTTTCCCGAGGCAGCGGTGACTCGCCGGTGAAAAAGCGGTGAATCTCCGACAGACGCAGGAAAGGTAAGCAGCCATCGCTTTGACTAGCAGACGTAAAGCAGACGACGTTAACTGCGCTAACCCGCCGACGCCGTTAAAGAATGAGGGGTCTCGCCACACACGAAAGGAGGGAAAAAGTATTTGGGAAGGAACTTGCGGGCACTAACACGCTTACTCTCGGTTCCTAGCAAATAAACCTCGGCGCCTCGGGACACCTCGCCAGTGAGTCCTTTGACTTCCCTCCTTGATGCGCGTCTGCTAGTTGTTAGACAAAAACAACGTGCCGCTCGAGTTATTTCGTCTGCCCTCTCTGAAAGGCGAAGTCGAGCTCGCTCGTAAAGACCTGCACTTCCGAAAGTCGCAGGAAAGGTAAGACAGACGCAGACGACTTTGCGAGCAGACGACGTTGCAAAGGAGCAGACGACGCTCAGATAGGGGGTCGCGATCAGCCAATCAGGGCTCGGCGTTCTGACGTCACCACTACTTCCTTTCTCATGCGCAGAAGAAGAAAATGAGACAACTTGCGAAGCGTATTAGTTTGGCTACAGTTTAAAAATGTCGAAAATATTAATTAAGTCGTTGCTTTCGCGTCATTTCTGTGTGGCTTCACCCACCCCCATCCCTTGTTTCATGGACACACAAAAAAATATTTTTGAACCAGTGTATTAATTTATCTGCTCGAACTTCCCAGTAAAAACTGCTTGTTTAATTTTTTTTTTCAGAAATAAAATGTATTACCCTGTTCGAGGAGTTGTATCATTTCCTCCTGTCGTATATGTGAAAAACAGCAATATCTCAGCAAACTTACTACTCCAGTTGACTCAACATCTTCTCTGATTTATTTTCTTGAATAGAAAACCTTATTTGACGCATCTGCTAGTTGGACCTCACCTTTTTCAAGCTAAAATATTTGTTATCCTTTATTTTTTTCGCCAGTTGTTCGTTCATTTGTTTCAATGGGCTGCCGTTTTCACGCATCGCTATATTCTTTAAGCAGTGTTTAGTGTCTTGTGTTCAAACAGTTATGCTCATTCATCTGAGTGTTTTAATTTATTTATAGTCCTTACCATTGAATAATATTTCTATCTTCTCTATTTAATTCAAACATTCTGCTTAACATTTTGCATAACAGTTCAGTTTCGTACTTTCCTGCTAACACACAAGCAACAGTCTTCTGATCTTCTAAATACCTGAGTGTTTATCTCACTTCTGGCCTACCATTGACTTCTCAAAGAACATCTGTTATTGCTCATACTAACCGTACTCTCGGGTATTTGCGCTTTAACCTCAAACTTGCTACACCCTCCCTAAAACGACTAGCGTAGTCTACTCTTATAAGTTCCAAGTTCGAATATGCCTAATCTATATGGTCTCCATTGCAGTGATACCTCACAAATCATATAGAATCCGCTGAACACTGAGCCCTTCTTTACATTCACAATAACTACTCAACATATACCAGATCATCAAAATTACGCCAATCAACAAACCTTTATTTAATTTCCCTTCGCGGCCGAGTGTCACGCCTCTTTCTCCTTCATCAAATTTTCTATCACAATACCCACCTTATGGAATCATTACTCTGAGCTCCTGTAGTATTTTCCCTCGTTTGGGTCACCCGTGTAAATAACGTTGAATTTGATCGTTGACTGTTTCTTACCAGACTTTCACACCATCTCTGGATATCAAGGATTGGAATTCACTACCACACAACATCGTTTCTACAAAGGACTCTAATAAATTCGCTGAATGCATTACCCTCTTTCTAGCTACTTAGCTAACTAGCTTACGGTGTTATATTTGTGTTCTCAGCACTTTTTCGTTTTATTGCCATCCCCTTGTATAATGCCCAAGGGCCCTCAAAGAAAATAAATAATAATGATGATGAGGGTTTTACTTCATTTGAACTGAAAAGTGAGGTCTATGAAAAGTGCTCATCTTGTGACGGAAATAATCCCTGGAGAAGGGGAAGAAGAGGGACAAAGGACAGACACAAATCTCGAAACACGGCTCGGTAACTGGTGCGCGACCGAAAAAATCCGCCTGGTCCGGGTATCGAACCCGGGACCTCTCCATGTGGAGAGGTCCCAGGTTCGATACCCGGACCAGGCGGATTTTTTCAATCGCGCACCAGTCACCTAGCTGTGTTTGGAGATTTGTGTTTGTCTTTTGCCCCTCTTCTTCCCCTTCTCCAGGGATTATTTTCGTCATTCTTGTCCAGCTCACTTGCACCTTTGCATTTAATTGCGTTATAATCAATGCTCAGCTTGTGTTTTTGTACAATAATTTTACCTTGGAAACCAAATCAATTGTTTCTTGCCGCCATTAAAATGTTTCGGGATTTTGAGCTGATCCCTGCATTATGCTGTTTTTTGTGTGTTCTTTGTAAGATGGTCTCCTATATATCTGAGTTGTATAAAAACGCAATTCAATATGAGAAGAATAGACGACTCTAGGTTGATTTATTACAATTTGTCATGTTGACAATTGTAAAATACAAAAAATAATTAATACTGACGTTTCGCCTGCTGTTTTAGAGTCTCAAGGCCGACATCGCAATTATCAAACTCAAGCAGCCCGTACTCATGTCCAGCAGAATACAACCAGTGTGCTTGCCTCGGAATTACGAAGAACTTGCCGAAGATTCTGAAGTTTACGTCACAGGCTGGGGGCACACCGATGGTAAGCGCTGCGAGCTGTCACTTGCCACCACTTTCGGAATGCTTTCACTACCCCCGTTCATTAATTGAAGCAAGTACAATTGTAGAAATTATTTAATATAACTTTTGAATAGCAGGCAGTAAAACCACTCGCACAATCACCAGCGTTACCTGGCAGAAGTACGCCGCTTTTCCTTCACGCTCCTTAGCGCGTTTCGCCGTCAAGTGTAACCGCTCGTGCATTATATTCAGGGCTGTTATGCCTATTATGTCACTTTCCAATATCAAACTATAAGACCGATAATAACGACTTACTTCTGGACATTCTTGAATTGTAAGAAAATATTACTAATTTAGATATCTTAAAAATAGCTCTGTTTAAACATGTAATATGTGTAGAAGCTGCGGTATATGTTACCGCTAGCTTTAAACTTGAATAATGATAAGGAAACCTGAATAGAAATAATCGCATACGCATATGTGTAACGTACAAAAAGAATACATATAAACGAAATAAAAGAAAACATAAAAAAAAAAAAAAAAAATAAAATACGCAGGCCATGCATCGATGCTCAGTCGAAGATCTTCACAGAAAGATACTTTTGAGAGCCTTTTTGACTGCTCGCAGTGAAGTAATAGACAGAAGCTCAGGCGGCAGTTGAGAAAAAATTTGCGGAACATAAGATGCGCGCGTACTTTCGCCATAGCGAGTATGAACACGGGGAATTTCATAAGGCTGCACATGACGCAGGACACGAGAGGGAGTACTAACTATTTTAAATTCGTTGCTCCAGAAATGCCGCAATGCAACAGTATGAACGTATAGCGTTTGACAGTTAGGAAGTTCAAGAAGATCGAAAATGGGTGGTGTCGGCAGGCACTTGTAGCTTGTAAGAAACGCTCTTAAGAATTGCTTTCAGGAGGGAGTCTATTCTCATTTTCGAGAAAGCTGAACAATTCCCAAAAACAGTGATGCCGTAGCGGAGGACACTATACGCAAGGGCATGTGCTATTGATTTTCGAATGGAAAGTGGCATAAAGCATTTAGACCTATACAAGAGACAGCTGGCGCTTCTCAGTTTTTTTGCATATATAAGGTATATGAACATGCCATTTCAAGCTACTATCAAAAAATATTCCAAGGTACTTAACATTATCAGCATATTCTAAAGGAACGCAGTTGCACTCAGTGCAAGCTGATGAGTGCAAAACTAATAGAAAATTAAGCCTGGCTGTTTTGAGTGGGTTGTGGAAGCATACCAGTCTAGCTTTTTTTTACATTTACCGAGATAAGGTTTCTCTCAAACCCGTTCATTAGCGCAGTCGCGTGACGTTGCAATCGGCGGATAGAGTCTAAGTAATTAATGTGTTGCGACATGATTAGTGTGTCGTCTGCATACTGGTATATTTTACATCCTGGTAAAGATTCGTTGATGTCGTTGACAAAAATATTGAACAAAAGGGGTGATAGAATTGAACCCTGCGGCACACCTGCTTTTAGTGTAGTTCGAGAGCTTTGGATACCACCGGCAGACACCACCTGAGAGCGATTACCAAGATAATTTTCAAAAAAGAAAAAAAAGAGCCCCGGAAGCCTATACTGTACAATTTTTTCAAAAGTAACGTGTGACGGACAGTGTGAAATGCTTTGAACAGGTCTAAGAACAATGTTTAGGTGACAGGTTATGATCGAAAGCAGAGTAAAGTTTGTCAGCGAAATCTTCAAGCAGTAGTTGTGTGCCCTTCCCCTGCACAAATCCAAATTGTGTAGGTGACAGTACGTTGAATTTGTCTATCAACGATGTCATTATACGATATATATGCTTTTCAAGTACCTGCGCAATGATCGGCAGTATAGAAATAGGTCGATAATTTTCGATATTATTTTTGGCACCAACTTTGTATAAAGGACGCACTATTGACGTTTTGAGGTTGTCGGGGATGAATTTAGCTTCAATAAAGCTGTTCAACATAAAAAGAAGGACCGTTTTCAGACTGCCATAGTCTCTTTGCAGGTCAGAGAGACGAATCCCATCAATACCGGGTGACTTGCTTTGCTTAAAACTGAATATTATGGAGAACATAATATTAAGATTAATACATCCTTTTATTTCAATTCATTGATGGCTGGGACCGAGGGAAAAAGCTACCCACAGGCCGCAATGCACAGCAGGAAACAATAATAGGACTTTAGACAATAGAACAATTTTGGAAGCTAACCTTGTCTGGGATGTTATATAGGGGATGATATATAGAAATATAGCGGTGGTAGAAGTTACGTACATTCGTATTTTTCTTTTCGCTCGTAGAAAACATGCTGTGCCTTCATTGATAAACCACTTCTCACCATCAATATATATGTCTAATTATAACATTTTTTATGTGAAAAGAGGTGATAGAGCAATATCACCTGCCCGTAATTGTAACTAACTTTTCTCGCCTCAACGTCAAAATAAGCCCGCTCGTCCTTGTGATCAAACGATATTGTTTTAGAAATAATATGATCAGAATTCTATTGTGGTAATGTCGGCTGTACTAAGGAAAAATAGTCGCACTTTAATGGAATTTTTTCTCACCATAAAAAAAAGAAAGATATGATTAGGGGCGGGTTCAGAAAAAAAAATGGGGGGGGGGGGTGTTCCGTATGTCCTGACCCCCCTCCTGAATTCTGCATGTGTAAAAATTTAGTTCGTGGAAACCGAGGGGGGAGGGGCTTAGTCATATGATACGCTGATCAACACCTGACTCCCTACTCTAGAAATACTTGCGTCCGCCCCTGGATGTGGTTATGTTTTGATTGCAACTAATACAGTGCACATTTATTTCAAGACAGCTAGGGTCAAAAGTGAATCGAATCACTTGAAGCAAACCATGACGAGAGTGATAAGCACCGAAGCCTGCCGAGGTCACAGCGGAAGAATGGTGCCACCAAGTATACTTTGCGGAATACATGACTATGGATCTTCGTGTGAAGTAAGAAAATCTTAAAAATCGGTTATCCTTTAGTTGTCTACTTTAATAACTCTGTTTGTACACAAACAAAAAATCGTTCTTTTACGTTCAGAAAACTAACGTACATGTACATGGACGTTTATAACGTTCAGCATACCTTTACATACCTTTAGAATACATACGTTTAAAAAGCTGACATAGGCATACATGAATGCTTAGAATGTTTAGCTTTTCTAAATAGATGTGATTTCACGTCTAATCTATATCAATTAAGCTTTATCCCTTCTTGTAGTTTTGACATGGAACAAAATTATCTAACGTTGGGATAAGTAGCAATAAAACTAAAAGGTTTCATCGTATGGAAGTAATAATTTAGTGAACATTTTCCGGTCCACCCTTAAAAAATCATTTTCATTGGCCTCAGCGCATCGAACATTACAAGGGGAGGTTTAATAAACCGTTCTATTGCTGTGCGTTCATTTTTACTCTTATTGTCACATAAAAATAGGGTATTTTACGTTAACAAGAAGGCAGTACAACCATTCCGTTCTATGAAATCAATTAAGCGAAATTTTAAAGTTCCTTAATTCGACTATATACTATGTATGCAAACATGCGTCGCAAATATTATACTCTAAAGAGTATATTCTAAAGAGTATAGCCTGCAACATTAACAAAAGGGGTTACTGCCGTAACAAAGATCGGGGGAGTGAAGCGAACCAAACAATTTCTAAAATTAGCGTCATGCCACGACTGTGGTCAGTTTTCATAACGCCGTTTGATACATGTCTCCAGATGACAATATGTGTTTCAAAGAATGACCGCGGTCCTCGTATGGTATCGGAGGTTCCCCTTAGGGAGCCTAGATAGAAGAGAGGGTCCACCTCAAACCATGGAGTAGTGTTTGCAATTTATTGGCGGACACCTCATACGCCGATTGGTCGGAAGTGCGCATGCGCTGTGTTTTAGCGTGGCGAGGAGGAAAGCAGGAAGAAAGGCAGAGACACTTCCAAACGACCAACGCTTTCGTCACCACCTCGCAGCTCGTATAGCAAATGCGGCCCATAGACCACATGACTCCGATCGAGCAGTTGGCAACTCTCAATAATTCAGGTTCTCTAGTTCACTTTTGTCGTTCGCTCCTCCTCCTTTCTTTATAGAGGCTAAAAATATATTGTTTTCGTGGCAAAGATTCTATAGAGGAGTAGTTAATATTTAGCGCAATAACTGTACGCTTTTACATGGTTATAAATAGCGAAATGACGGAAATGCAACAGTAAAATGTCAATTTTCGCATTATTTTCCGAAAGTAGGGCATTGCAGTGGAGTAATGTCTAACGGTACGACAGCTACTGTGCTCCGAATCGGTTAGGATGCAAAGTATAAAATACTTATATGTGCCGAAAATACACCAATCATCTAATAACATGGTTAGCATTGAAACAAACCAATCCATCAACTTGAAAAGCTGCGGTTTCATTCTCCCAGCGTTGAGTAACTTGTATTTTGTAAACCTTTACGTTCAAAATTTAATGCATAAATTTTATCCCCGAAATGCAGAATTCGGGTAAGAATGTGTTCGTTTGTAATTACTTGATTTGTAAAGACTTGATAGTAGTGGTCAGCTTAAGCACGTAAATTGGTACGTGCTTAAAGGAGCTGTGCAACGATTTTAACGTTGAAGGAATTGGCATTTTCTGCTTTTGATATTGTTCACTGTGTCACAAATGGCAGAAAACACACCTCTTTTCATCGCAATGTTGCGATTCCGCCGCGTAATAGCGAGGCAAAACTTGGAATATTTCCCGACCTGCAGCCACGAGCGGCGGCCATGAGAAACAAGCGGCGTGACGTCACTTGGGTCGTTGTAAGAAAGATAGCAAGTTGTGCGAATACCTGCTCGATAAAAGGTAACTCTTTTTACAAATCTTGTCGTTCCAACATATATATAAATGCGTCAACACCCTGGTATCATCGACAAAACTTTTATTATACGGAGTTTTAGTGGCGCCATCTATCCTAGGTCCACAAAACCGCGAACAGCCGCCAGAAGCCGGAGGGGGAGGGGGACAGCGCCACACTGGCAAGGACGGGTGGTCACGCGGTCGGCAGCGGATGAGTTCTCGCTGCTCGCTGATGGCTCTAAAGAGAGAACTTTTCCGGAACTCCGCGCCTACTCTAGTGACGTCACTGTGCACGTGACCCGGAAGACGATGCACGAGTTGAGAGGCGGCAAAAACCTGGATCTTTTTCATTTTTTTAAGTAAAAACTAGGGTATCCAGGCAAAATCTGTTTTCTGTAGTTCACTGCAGAAGTGTCAGGCATCAACTTCCACAATTATTTAAGCAAAGCCCTGAAATTGTTGCACAGCTCCTTTAAGCTGAGCAAATTGGTGAATAAGAACCTGACGACTTACACAAATGGGAGCAGCATTTTTTTTTCATTTCGACACGCAATTTCGAATTCCACTGCAAAAACTGTGCCTTCAGTTTAATAATGCCGACCTGTACCAGAGGAAAAAAAAAAACGCATTTAAGTGCTCGCCTTCACTGGTTCACCGGAGTCCTGCTTCTTGCCTTATACTTCCATAATTACTGAATATGCATTGGACCTGTTTTAACGTGTCCTTTCAGGGTGACAGCGGCGGACCCGTGGTGCGCATTTCGAACGAAACTTGGACCATCCACGGAGTGGTGGTCGGGGGACCAGAGGTCTGTGGACAAGATGATGACCCCATGTACTTCACGAAGGTGTCCTATTACATGACGAAATTCATCTTACCCTACATAAACCCAAAGTCTAGCAGGCAAACCCTCCAGAAGATCTGCAAGTCTTCCTAGATCAATAATAAAGTTACCGAATTCCGTCATAAAAAAAACGAGCGCCATGCTTTGTTCGTAATGTAGGTTTTTTCTCAGATCGTGGATCACGCATTGCTATGTAAGGACAGTGCCTTTTTCTGTCAAGGCACTTACAGGGTGTGTGGAGGTAAACAAAAACAAGCCTGACCGAAGTTTCGGAACGAGTATGCCGCTTTCGATTTGCCGTTGTTTTTGTTTGCTTGTGAGCGCGCAGTGAGTAGCGCGTAGTTAAAAAGTGTCACCGCCGAGGACTAACTACGGTACTTTCTAAAATTTTCTTATACGAACCTGGCATGCCTTTCTGGTCCCATGTGTGAAAATGAAAGGCACTGGTTCCTCAAGGAAACGACGTATATGCAAAAAATATCACGTTCGCGTTTTCACAAATATCTATTCGAGCCACCTGGTCTACATACCTGAGAACGACTTAAAACCTGTAAGTCCTTAAACCCGTGCAACTACTTCGTGAACGGCAGGGTATTGACGATGGGCACCTGCCACCCATAGACTCCGAAGATACGCGCAGAGTTTCCCCGCAGGGGTACGTGAGTTGGGTATTGGTTTTATCAGACAATCTGCATAAAGCTTTTATTAGGCTTTCTTCAGCGTGACGCGAGTATCACTATTACTTCAGCTTGACGCGAGTATCACTAATACACAATGTCCTAATGTTTTGACTTGCAATTGGTATTGATATTTTTTTCCACAGAGCACCCTGTCAGCATGCATTTATACATGCAGTAATGACCCGGATGGGCAACTATCGTTCTAGGGGGACGCTCGGTCGAGGGTCCGCTGGCGCCGCATATTCCCGTTTGTCGCGTTGCGCCATCTGTCGGCAGCAGATTGAAGTAGGCGAGCACCGTCTGCGTAGCTGCGATCACCGAAGCCCCCCGGCGTCGGTGGCGTCGCTCGTCTCCAGATAATCGAAATAACTTCGCTTAAAACATTTTGGCCGTGCCGGTGCGCAACGGTAACTAAAAAAAAAACACAAAAAAAACACAAGATAGTGGCATTTTTAGAGCTTATAGCTTTCGTGCAATTGCTCGCTGGTAAACCAAGAGTCGTCGCGCACCCACGCAAACGCAAGGTAAACATTGGAGAACCGGAAATATCTATCGCACCCCGTTATGGCGGCCGTAAGTGGCGAGAACATCCTGTTTGGTCACTGACATCTTAAGAAACGCAGCGCGTGGTTTATTTTGTTTACATGTTTTACTGGTTATTTAGTCGCCGCAGTTTATTTCCAGTATATACATGCGGCAAGGGAAAGATAAGTTCCTTTTTTAACACTATATGTGTTTTATTATTTCTATTTCGTTAAGAAATTGTCACGGAAAACTGCCACGAAGACGCGTCACTTCAATTGCCCCCTATATTTAACGTGGAAATGAACGTCACGTGACCACGTCATGTGACCCGAAGTCACGTGATATCAATATCTGCGATGTGGTTCGGCGGGGTGGTAGTCTACGCTGAGCACACTGTGCGTTGCCCAGCCTTAGTCAGCTTGATCAAGTAATTGTAATTTTTTTTTCTATTCACAAAAGCGGTTCTTTGGCGCAGCAGATGCTTTGTGTTGTGCGCGATAAGATACGTGACAAGAGCAGCAGTTTCCGGAGCCCTCGTTGGCGACGTAATTTCCTTGATATCCGCTGTCCTTGGAAGGGATATCACGCCCGCGTCGAAGCTTCACCGGATTGACCTCATTCATTCCCATTTCTATCATACTGCAGTCTGCCACCCCTTAGAGAACAAGTATCTGGCTCAACAGCGCGTAATTTTGTAGTGGTGGTGACGCAAATAAATGTTAAATATGTATTTTGTGTATGTTCTCACGGCGTCTTTGCAAGTTCTACGGGCCACAGCTCAATACGATGGTGAGATGACGTTTATGCATTCCTTTTGTATTCGTAGGATATTTCTGTATATAAATATATTTAGAAACTGAAATTCGAGATGAGGACAATTTTGAAATTTCGGACCAATTTGACCTCAATGTTCCCAGTAAGTTCATGGTGTGCGCAGGCGTGATGTGAATTTTCTTCGTGTTTGATGATGCCGTGTTAATTCACAGTAAGAGACAGACTCTTAAAATAAACTGTATCTTTTTATATTTTGCGCGGATGTCTCGTAAGCTCTAAATTTTTTAATGCCTGTGTCTGTGCTTGAAAGACATTAACATCGATAAGAATAATACTACCGATGCTCGTCTTCTTCCAGCAGCTAATTACATGTTCCATGTGCCCTGAACACCACTTGTAAAAGAGCAACTATTTATAAATGTTTTATTAAAGAACAGACAGTGGGATTCTTGTCGAGAGGAGATTAGTTTTTCTTGGCTGCCCGTTCGAGTAATGTACGCGAAAATACTGTAAAAATAAATAAGACTCGACGAATTTTTTTAACATGTCAGTCTATGTTAGGTCAGGATGAAAAATAGAGCGTTCAAAAAGTCACGGACAGCTTAAACGGAAGCTGAAGCAGTTTTGGTGACAACATAGTTTGGAGCAGAATTCCACAGTCTTCTTTCCCGTGAATTCGATTATCCTTCTTGAATTGGCGTGACGTAAACTTAAAGTGGTTTTCTTGTGAAAAAACACAAAAAAACAGACAAACAACGTCCAGCGGTTCCCGCACGGCATGCAGCGAGCCTCTATGCCAACTGCTATTGGTCAAAGTTGTCATGACGTCATCGTCTATATCTCAGCGCCAGCCTAGCGGCGAGCAAGGGTCATCTCAACCCTCGAATGACGCCACCTTCGTTAGCTTCACCCTCCGCTGTCGCGGTCTCCAGCGCTCGGCATGCAGCAGCGGGTGGCGCTGCGGCTGAATTTTAATTGGAGATTACGTCGCTCCTGCCGATAAAACCGAAAAAAAAAACTTTGGACACATAATTTTTAAGGTTCCTGCATCCAAACTTTTATAGTTGTTGTCTGCATTAAAAAAAAAAAAAGAAACATCTACATTTTTCTTTTTTAGAAACCCAGGGCATATGTCGCCTCCGAGACATCTACTTTCCCGCAGCACACATGGTACAACCCGTCGCTGCATTCTACGGAGGGAACTCGGGAAATGAGGAGGCTCAAAATGAAAGAGTGAAGTTTCTGGGGTTTGGCACACGGAGGAACGTCGCTCTGATAGCCACGTCGCTCTGATAGCCACGGCGCTGGCCGTCTTTTAAAGTCCACACTTAAATTCCGCCTATTCTTTTGCCGGGCTCTTTCCGTAGATAGCTGAGATTTGCTCTCCAAAGTGTTTTTCGGGAAAGTAGGCGTTCTAGGTTTTCTTGATGTGATTTGATACCTCTTGTTAGGAAGTAATCATTTAAATTTGTGGTGCTAAGGTAGAGAGTGCAGCACTCTCCGCACGATTAATTTTCTTGCCTGCGCGTTCCGGATGTATACGCAAAAATATATTATAAAAAAAGCTTCACATTTGCAATTGATTGAATTGATGTTAAAGCAGGATAAAAATACAACGTACTATATTACTCAATGTTGTCATTATAAATGTTTCCGAAAAGAGACAGGCTAACCTTTTTTTTTTTCCAGTCGAAATATTTTTTTAGTGTGTGAAAATTTTCTTTGACCAAACGAGCACTTCCCACACGTCACTCTTCGTGAGAGTGATTCCAAGCAAAAGATTCTTTTGCGCTTTCCTCCAGGAAGCTGTGGACAAGCCGACATCAAGCCCATTTTGTCAAACACGGACCGCATTGTGGGCGGTCAAGAAGCCGTCGCAGGGAGCTGGCCTTGGGCAGCATCCATTAACCTCAACGCTCCCATACTCAGTCATTTCTGTGGGGGCGCTCTCATCAGTGACAGGCACGTGTTGACAGCTGCACACTGCGTCACGTAAGTTCATTTTAAGCTCAAAGCATCATCAAATATGACTTTCTTTCAGCAAAAAAACTGCACACGACTCCGGATAGAAGGGTTCTCTATCTGAACTCCTCTGTCTCAAAATTTGACTCAATCAGCCTCTGTGTCGTGAATTTTCGCGCCAACAGCAGCACTAAAATTTCACCTAACATCATACACTGCTTGTGGAGCTTTTGTGCCACGGTTTCTGCGTCGCTTCGAGTAAGGCTAGCATGGGGTCAGGATGAGGCGCGAAGGTTGTCACCGATTTCCGGCTGGGATTCGCATTTGAACGGGACCCGAGTGCCGGCTTCTGCGAGGCACCTGGCCCTAATTACTTAGTTTGTGTTTCGCTCGCTTCGATCCTGGGCGGCGTTGAGGGTCTGGCGTTGAGGCTTAGCACACAGGGCGTATCGTCTTAGCCTTTCCTTCTCTCCTCTCTCGAACATTTGCAGCAAAGCTGTATGTATGAATGAGTGGATTAATAAATGAGTTGTGGCGAAACTTTTTGTAATGGGCGGTAGCTTGTGACACCTAGAAACAGTGTCGGAGCCTTTTTCTATCTTTTCTGAGCACGTCAGTTGAATTTAGCTTCCGTATTGGATACGAGTAGCGTGTCACTCGAACTGTGCTCGCAAACGATGAGATTGACAATGAATACCCTTGACGGAAATGATCGAGTTCAATATTCGTTTGCATAACCTGCAGCGTGAACAAGAGCGAGAGGGGATGAATGGGTGGATGCAGGTTAAGTGCTAAAGGATGTACTCCTTATAACGGGCGGTAGCTCGCGCCACCTAGCCTAGAAATTAAAAAAAATGATTTCTTTCTTTCGCCAGTTTCTTCCCTTGTGCGATTTCGTGACTATCACGAGGCGGTGTGGGATATTACCAAGACGACAATCGGGAAACCGCGCAAAAGAAACTAAAAACATCACCCCCACCTCTTCTCTTCGGGTGAGGGAGTCGCCAAGTTTCCTCTTACCTAACCTAGTCGAAATTACCCCGGCATTGGGTCCAATGGAAAACGAGTTGGAGACTTTGGGCGGAGCCATGCTGAAAGCAGTCCCAATTTTCCTCTGTGCTGCCTGTCCCCAGCTGTGTCAGTTAATTGTAAGTCATTCAATTCTCCATAGATAATTCCCACCAGACTTCCAATTTCCTCTTTATTATTAAGACGCACTTATCATCTATTCTTCCATTCTCGTCTGCACACCCCAGGGCTCCGGCTAAGCCCATCGCCCCCTCGGGGAGGGCGGAACAAGCCCTGTGCACCTCAACACCTTATGTTCTATTGCAACACGACGCTTGACTGACGCTGGGTTTACCCTTTGCCTTCGCATACCTTCGACGACTTGTTAGTCGCGAGCTCATTCTTTGGAATAGCACGCTGCCCACCTCCATCTTCTCTTCGAACGGCTCGCCGAACATGGCATCATTATCAACGCCATGAAGAGCATGTTGGGAGCGCCCGAACTGGACATTCTTGGTCACCGTGTTGATAGCTCAGGCATTCCACCTCTGCCTACTAAAGTTTGCATTATTCAAGAGTTCCCGCGGCCAACGCCACTCACCAGGCTCCGCCAGTTCATTGGTCTCATCAAAATTTACAAATTCTGTATGCCGCACTCTGCCAAGCTGCTTCAACCAATTGACCTCCTCTGCAAGGGTGGACGGTCTGCTTCTCCTCTTTCCTGGAATAAAGCAACTGAGCAAGCGTTTCGTGAAGGGAAGCGAGCATGGGAGTAGACCACTCTTCTGCAGCATTCGATGCACAACGCTCCGACTTCGATTATGAGTGATGCTTCGGCTACCGCCGTCGGTGCGGTACTTCAGCAACGCATCGATGACCAGTGGCAACCAGTCGCCTTTTTTCAAAGAAGATGAAGCCCGTACAAACGCGCTACACCGTGTTCTACCGTGAGTTGCTGGCTTCATACTTGACTGTTCGCCCCCTTCGACACTTTGTTCAAGGAAGACCATTCACCATCTGGCGAGATCATAAGCCTCTGACCCAAAGCCATTTCCAGAGCCGGATCTCACTACTCACTACAAAACAAAAAAAAAAGCAAACGTCAGTTAGTTTTTTTGTCAAAATTTACAACTTTCATTTGACACGTGAGAGGTGTGGACAACGTCCCTGCCGATATCCCAAGCTGCATTGACGCCGTTTCGCTACCACCGCTCTCGGACCCTGCAGAACTCGCTCGTCTGCAAGTCAATTTTATGAGCTCGAAACGTTGCTCGCGCCATCCTCTCTGGAGCTTCAGGACGTCACCTTTCTAGAAAACATCATTGTCAATTGCAATATGAAAGCTGGAAAGCCGCGACCATTTGTACCTGCCCCTCTACGTCGAAAACTCTTCGACGCCACTCACAGCATGTCACGCCCGGGCATTCGGACAACACAGAAGCTGATGACGTGCTGTTAGGTGTGGCCTCTCATGAAGCAGACGTCCGTACCTGGGCACGATCCTGCATTTCCTGTCAGCAGGCCAAGGTACATCGGAACCCCGTGCCTCTGACCGGGACTTATCAACCCGATGCCAGCTTTGACAAAGTTCATGTGAACCTGGTCGGGCCTTTTCCATCGTCGCAGGGACATCGCTGCGTCCACTGTCACCACCGCCTTCATCTCCATGTGGGTATCCAGATTGGGATGGCCTTCCGAGATCGTCACAGACCGTGGACGGTAATTCGAGTCGTCGCTTTTTCCAGAGCTTAACCGTATTCTTAGAAGACCAGACTGGGAACTACTCCTTACCATCCGCAATCCAATGGTCTTTTGGCATGTTTTCATCGCCATCTAACATCGGTACTCATAGCAAGACTTCTACACGTTACTGAAAAAAGTAACCGATTACAATTACAATTTCTTCACTATAAAAGTAAGCGATTACAATTACAATTACAGCATGAAATAATAATAGAAAAATTAGTCTAAAGTAATGGATTACTTCCCACGTTACTTTTCATTCCACTTTCTTTTTTTATTATGGTAACATATTCCTTGGATTTTCGTGCTCAATTGTTCCGAAAAGAAAAAAAGAGCCCTGACCGTTTTTGCTTAGAGCTGAGTGGCGCCAACACACCCAATTTCTCGCGTCAAAAATAATAAAATAAAAAGAGCGCAGTTTGAATGCATTACTCACTGGAGGCTGGATAAAACGCCATTTTCCATACTCGAACGTACTCTTCAGTGTACCAAAGGAAATGTACACAAGAAACGAAGCATAGCGGAAAAAAATTGACCTTTGCGCACAGTTGAGTGAGTCTAGCACCATCTAACCCCTCTCCCCCCTCAAAAGAAAAGAACACGAGAAAAATTGTAATGGGAAATGTTGTGATCGATTACAGCAAAAAGGTAATTCAAGTACAAGGATCGTTTTCCCTTAAAGTAAGTAATTGAAGCGTCACAAAATTACAGTAAAATGTATCGATTATAAGTAATCCATTACTTGTAACGCGTTATGTACAAGTCTGCGAGTCATAGCACACGGAAATCCAAACGAATGGGTTCTTCAACTACCCCTTTTGCTTCTTGAAATCCGCAAGCTCTTAAAGAAAACCTTGGATGTTCGACCGCCGAGATAGTTTATAAAACACCACGCATGTTAATATCGGACTTCCTCAAAGCGGACAAAAGAACTTCAACAAGACCTGAAGATTAAATTGAGAGACTGCGACAAATCTTCGAAAACCTTCACAACAGTCCAACTCGGGCCTGTCCAACAAAATCACCATACGTGAGAGGATTTCGAAAATGCTACATACGTTTTCGTACTATAAAGACTGAGGAAGTCTCTACGTCCACAATACAAACGATCATTCAGAGTGATACAGACAGAATGGACACCTTCATCCTTCATATAAACGAAGAAGAGGACGCAGTGTGCATACAACGCCTCAAACCAGCACACCTCAAACACGGATCCCTAAATGAAATCTATCAAAGAAGAAAAATTTGAAGGAAGGAATAATCAAAATCGCCCTTATGCCCCCTAAAGAAGCGGGAGGTGGAAAGGGGTGTATCTGTAGTGGCTCAGTCGCACGTAGCGCGCCCCACATCAGATAAAAGAAATGAAAGCAGATGCTCAGGGGGCGAATGATTCTCGGGCGCCTCGAGACAGAGAACACCAGGGATTCGTACCGGTCGGTTGTCTTCAGCACTTTCTCCACACATTAGCATTTGAGACATCTCAGGAGGTGATGCAGGTGTGATTTTATAGGCTGCATGTCCTACCAAGTTGTTCAGCTTCCCAGTAAAGGGTGCACACCTCAACAATTTTAAAGTACTGTTCCATATCGGACAGAGGAAGTAAATAACTACATTCTGGTTCAAAAGCAATATAGTCGGAGAAGTTCAGTCTATTTTCCATAACTCTTATCAATATGAAACTTTCCTGTTTATTTAATATCGCTGTTATTTTAGAGCGAAGCTATTTATGGCTAGGGTTCCGTGGAATTTTCATGAGCGTCAAAAACTCCACGCTCGCACCACCGCGTGTGCCGCACGCGCACGCCTTCCGCGCATAAAGATCCGGTGTAAATAACCAAATTAAAGCGTTGACGAACGCGCGCGGAAGATGCCATTTGGTTTAGGCTTTTGTTTTAGAACAGTTACTTCCGCAGCCGCAGGCACTTGAGCGCGTGGAACACCATTCCATTAAAGCCACTCGATGTGTAACACATTTTTATCAAGGAGCTTTACATTCCATGAATTCTTCTTGATGCTTGGGTAATTCAGCAGTAGGTCTATTCAGTAGATTAGCTATCAATAGGCACATTTTTTTAAAGATCAGTAGACTCTCAAATAGATAATAGAAGATTCTCGAAGATTTGCCGCTGTGCGACCCGCGTCGGACATGTCTACGCTCGCACCGTTCTTTCTTTGTCGTCGTTCCATGCGCTTGCGTGCCTAGTTTCCTTGCCTTCCGCTCTCCCAGGGGTGGCGGTCCCGTCGCGAGTGTGTTGTTTCCTTCATGTAATCGGGGCGGCCGACCAAGAGAATAATACATTTATGTGCGTGCCTTCCGTCACTATGACCACCGATCAGGACATTACATGTGTTCGTGCCTTTGTTCAAAATTTTGTGTCACGCCTGTTTCGTGTGTTAAACAGCTTCGCTGGTCATCAACCCTCACAGAGTGGAATGGCTCATGATTGTTTTGCCTGACCCGCTATTTTTGTAGTGCATTGTTGCCATTTCGTGATTTTTCCGCTCATCCGCTATAAGTTTATGTAATAAAAATAAAAATAATGTCTGTCCCACACAGAACCAAAATCTCTTCTGAAGTGCGCGTACACCTAGGATCCCACGCTCGCAACCGGATGGACAAAGGAGAACAAGCCATTGAAGCTGAAGAGATTTGTGCCAGCAAAGGCTATCATGGAGAGGATGAGGTAGGAGCTTAAAGGATGCCAGTCGCTATTGACCACAAATCTTAGTTGTGTTGTTCGTTTTTCAAATTACATATTTTATGTCACGACACATCGCTCACAACAATAAACTTATGTTTATTGCTGCCAATTAAATCACATGAGATATATTTTTTTATATCTATATTCGCTTCCCTTTTACATACAGGGTTTTCCGGACTATAGTTCGCAAACTACACATGTTTAAAAGTTGAAATTTTACAGGGAGCGTACTATCTGCCGATTCGAAATATACAATGATTTATAATATATTGTTCATTCTTACGAACCGTGACGTTTCTTTTGAAGGACAGAGTGTGTTAATTATCATTTATATGTGAAGTAAGTTTCTTTTTGAGATCATCAAACAGGCACATCTAAATGTCGGCTGTGTGTGAGAATTATGTTACGTGCGGTATATGCACCATGTACTGATTATCTAAAAAAGCTTTTTTTTCAATTAAAATTGTCCCCAATGGACTAGGCACATGGTGAGGACTATAGTCAGAAATACACGGTACCCGAAAGCACGTCCTTGCGGGATTTGGGTTCTTTTTTTTTCGATAGATATAAGTATATTTTCTCTGCTTCTTCATCCTTCTCCTTGTTTTTACCGATCACGTTTCTCGCGCTTGCTAAAACAAGTTGTCGCGAAGTAACGACAGATACTGGCAGTTGGGGTTTTCCTGGGAATAAAGTGTGAACAGAAAATTGGCCCAGCTTTTTACCCTTGACGTTATTTTTCACCAGACCAGACATAGGTGACGTTCATGATTTTTCTCCACTAAACTCCCTGAGATTGATTCATCGCCGTCTATTAAAATGAAAACGACATTCACCGTTTAGAATGTGAATTCAACGTAGGTAATACTAATTATCGGTTGGTAGAACAAAGAAAAGCTTGGTTTGATGCATGTCAGTATTGCACCTATCATAAAAACAGGGAGCACAAAAAGCTAAGACCAAAAGACGACACGTCCGCCATAGGAACGCAGGTTGGTCGTCCATTTCTTCCTTTGGTCCCAGTTGTATTTTTTGTGCGCTCTGTTTTTTTTTATTTGTTTCCTCGACTATGCCAGCCACTTAAAAAAAAAGAGGTAGCTTGCACGTCCTTAGAAATTATAACCTCAGTAATTCTTCCTCTTCATTTATTAAGATACTGGAATTATAAATATATTCTTTTTTTTTCAGAACGACATCGCCATTATTCGTCTTAAGAAACCGGTAAAGATGAGCGCCACCGTCAAGCCAGTTTGCCTCCCAAGGAGCGGAGAGGAGCTTCCCGATAATACCGAACTTTTTGCCATGGGGTGGGGACGAGCGGATCGTGAGTGACACCAAATCTGCTCCCCTGATTTTGTTATGTTATGCCTAAACAAAAAAAAACAAACAATGTTTGTAAGAGTGTATAAATGTCAAAATTTACTAGATAACAATGAGCATAAAACAGAGTATATAAATATATTATATGTGCTATTAACGTCAGTTGAAAGTAGAGTATGGTGAGCAAACTATCCTCAAGGGACGCCATGAAGTGTTATTTGGTCTGCACTGATTTTAAAAGCAGTAGCTTACAACCGGATACGGAATAGTTAAAGCTCAAAATACTCCTTCATGTTGGAGACCAAGGAAAGCTTACTCTACGAATGAGCAACACAGACACGATTATTGCCTTTTCTGTCTTAATCAGTCAATTGAATGTTGGATCTCCGAAGTTAACATGTAACAGCTTCCGTGTATTCAAACTTAAGCCTTAAAGGACACCTGTGGCCGGGTGGACAATATTTGAGCCGGTGTTTTTTCGCGCATAGGACGTCAACAAAAAAAAAATGTTGAAGTATCACTCTTTTAAAGACAGCCCAAGACAATCAACGGCGAATCGTTAAAGCGCTATCTGAGTTTCCTAAAAATGAGATGAGAACAGTCATAATGCCTTCTTACACCAATAACTTTGGAGCCAAATAGTTATTATATAAAGCCGTATCTTTCTTGGACGATTCGAGGTAGTGCTCTAACCGACTTTATATTTCAGACGCTGTTTCAAAGAAGCCTGTGTACATGAAGCAGATGTCAACAAAGTCAATTGCGAACAATCGTTGCTTAGATTATTTCAACAAGACGGCTGACCCAAGAATCCTCTGTACTTCAACCGATGTAGCCTCTACTTCCCACGTACGTATTTCTATTCAATACGTACCGTACCAGCCTAGAACCTTCCCATAATAATAAATACGTAAAGCGTTCGTTATACAACTGAAAGTCGATGACGCTTCAACTATTCTATCATTGTATGCTCAAGAATGTATTAAACATTTACAGATTCGACGCACACTTAAGTAAGCAGGTGAATCATTTCACGCCGGAGTTCCCTCTTCAATCCCTCGGGAAGGAGTATCTTAGTTAATAAACTGTGTAACTCTTTCATAAAAGTTGTTGGATAGAACGGATATTACACTGAATAGTACTAACTATAATTTTCTCGCACTTCACCTAAGTTTTCTTTTTTGCTTCTTCGTTTCTTTCCCTCTAATCTTATCAAATCTCTTTTTTTTTCCTTTTCAAATGTTAAGGTGAGCTATACTTCTTTCAGCTTAAGTCACTGCTGAACCCAATGTTTTTAGTTTTAATTTAAGTCCATACGCAACCGACTCTACGAGCTAATGGGACCAACTAACAATGTCAAAAGTGCACAATCTTTGCGTTCTTCATATTTCAGTGCATTTACTATCATCGTTGAACAAAATTATAAACTGAAAAGGCCTAGTGATTCGCACTTTTGACGCTCCTTGATTTGTCCCATTACCTAGCTGGTAGCGTCGGCTGCATCTGCACTTATAATGAACAACGTACAGTGGGTTAAGCATGATTCTTGTGTACTTGTTTGTCCTTCGTGCTGTTTATTTTTAATATATTTTTCATCCTTCCAATTTATTTCTGGTTTTTGCTTTGATACGTTCTCAATTCTGAAGAGAATGAAGCAACGAAGATGGCCCTTAGAAATTCAAGAATGGTAACATTTTGGTCCAGTGTATTTCCATTGTCAAGACTTCTTTCTCGTGTCTAGTAGTAAACAATGATTCAAGTCGAAGCGTTCGGCGAAATGCCAAAAATGCTACGTCAGATAGTATCATACTTTTACAATAGCTTTTACGAAGGTATCAAGCCGGAATGGGCAAAATAAATGCAAATATGTGTCGAAATACAAATACAAAATACTTCGTCAAAATGTATTTAATTACAAATCTAATTACATTTCCAAAAAATCATTTAAGCACAAGATAGAAATACAACCAAATGTATTTGGTCTCCTCCAAATACTTTTTAAAATACATTCCTCAAAATTTGCGTCAGCGACTTCAGGGCACCTGCAACGGGTTTCTGGGTATCTCATTTTAATTTTTTATCGCACACTCGGGAGTTGGTGTGCGAGGCTCTAGTAAAGTAATAGATATATATTCACAAGAAAATGCAATCAGCTTGGACGTAATAGGTAATACATTTTGGTATAAACCAACAAAGAACCGAGACGACCAAGACGCGGAGCACTAGCTAGAGAATTTTTATTGTTGCAACTCGCATCAGTTACAAAAATCTGGACACTCGCGCATTTAGAATGGCCCAGGCAAAAATATGGATAGAAATCAGGCTGGAAAGCAGCACAAGTTGTACTGGCACTTATTCAGCCAGTCTGCCAGTAAACGTCGATTTCGTCACTATTCTTGACCTGGACTAGCACCGTAATCACAAAGTCACTAAACGCTTGTGCTTGATTGAGAGACACTGCATCCGGTGCAGAACGCAGTTTTGTTCCTGCTCTGGACAGTGACAATAAATTTGAGGGATGTATTTTCGCCCACAAAATTGTATTTAACTACAATTGTATTTCAAATACCTACATTTTAGTATTTAAATACACACGTCAAATACATCACCCAATTTGTAATTAAATACAAATGCAAAATACACAAAGTATCTGAAATACGTAGTTCAAATACTTGTATTTGAAATACTGCCCATCCCTGGTATCAAAGAACCAAGTCATGGTTCCTTGAAAGCACGACTATGGTTTCAAGGATTGAGGCTCCCATTGCCTCTCGCGTGGCGTGGTTCCAAGAAACGCCACCAGAGAAGCCCTCCCCATGGCGGTGCAGCGCACGCAGCGGCCCGGCCGCCGGTAACATGTGATGTCCTGGTCCCAGAGCCCGCATGGGCGAACTACGGAGAGGCTGCACGGCCGAGCTCAGCGCGGCGCGGCCACTTCGCGAGAGCGCGCGCTCAGCCGTCGGCTGCTACCTCGGCAGTAGCGAAACGTGGCCGTCCACGTCACTACGCCGCAGACGAACTAATGAAGCGGAAGAACGACATTCATGCTTTCGCAGTCACAACTCATAAGAAGTGCTTATGTGTCCTCGAAACGTTTTTCTTTTTTTTTTTATACGTTTGGACTATCCAAGACACCGGTAGTAAAATAGTATGCCTCAGAAGCAACCAGAATACTTGTCCGTTATTGATATGAGCGTCATAGAATGCCAGATTCTCGTGTTTTCTGTCTCGCGTGTCACGTCACGTAAATAATTATTTTGTTAAAAAACGCAACCACAGATTGCTATAATTCGGCTCGCATGGGACTAATAAAGTGTACCAATAAATTAGAGCTTACCTTGACATAGTAGTCGGTGCCAACTGGGGTGTACGTCTCGAAGCGAAACTGGCGCTGAATTTTGCGCGAAGTTTGGCGGGGGGTAAGCACGTCAACCTTACTTCTGCATTTATTTTCTCTGGAACATTCTTGCCGATAGCTTTCAATTTTTACACATGCGAAGTGTACAGGTGACGGTACCTCTGTGTGAAGTTTCAAGGTGCTCCAACGCTTTGTCCAGGGAATAACAGTCGCTAAACACAAACTGTTGCATTTTGCCCCGCGTCTCATTTTACCTCAATTTATGTTACCTTATTCAAAGCGTAAAAGCACATACTCGACAGGATATGTTTTTTCCCCAATTTGCTTGTTCCTTAGGGCAAACAACTGGTGCTTTATTTTTAGAAGTCTTCATTGGTTTTCATATATAACTGAGAAGGATAAAATCAGGCAAATATTGCTAATTATTCATTCGTGTAAAGCAGAATTGTCGAAGAATTTGTAGTTGGGCAAGTTGGCATCTCTTAAATTTGAAAAGCGCCTAAAAAGTCAAGAACAACGGGAAGAATTTTTTCTAATTCTTTCCGTGGTTCTTGTTTTTTTCCGCTTTAATGAATTGAATAATTTCTCTCTCCTGCGACTACACTCCTTTAATCGTACATTCAACGAGGCTGAAAACTTGTATTCCGAGGAAAATTAAAGCGAAGCTACTATTTATCTTTGATGTCATTTTATAAACACTTGTGAAAAACAAATTTCACAAAATATGAAAAGGGCGATATCGGTTCCCTAGCTTTCTTGTAGCGCTGCGTCTGAATACGCGCAATAATCAAGTTTGCTGCTGGATTTGTCTTAACTGTTTTTGCAAAATAATATATTGTAAGTTTATATATCACATGTCACCCGGAACATTTTATAAATGAATGAATGCACTCTGGTTTCCACTCTGAAGGGCTGAACGAATAAATTAAGTTCCTCAGTAGGTTTTAAGTTTTTATACAGCTGATGTTTAATCGGTCAGTTTATTGCACAGGACCAGTATTAAATTGTATTACTCCAATTACCAAAATGCATTCTAATCACAGCTATAATGCTCTCTATATTCTATTCAGTGTATGTGATTCGGGAGTGATTGGTCCTCTTTTTTTTAAGGTGCGGACACTACGGACAGGAATGTTGATGTCGAAACGTTGATAATTTCTAAGTTCGAGCTGGTGACTTTATTCATTCACGCAAATCTGTGAATTTAGGTTCCTCAATAATCTGTAATGTGTGTCGAACGGAACACCTAAAGTGTAACGCGTTTTGTAATGTACCAGTTCAGCTCATTGTTTAAATTGTGTTTTTAAAACAACATTCATCTTCCGATGCAGGGAGACAGCGGAGGTCCGGTTGTGGGGCTCAGAAACGGAACGACCTGGACACTCTACGGCATCGTCTCAGATGGCCCACACCTTGGAGGCTTTGAGCACCTTCCCCTGATTAATACAAAAGTTTCTCATTTTATTACCGATTTCATTAGTACTTACCTAAACTCACAAGGAAAGTCCGAGAAAAAGAAAATCTGCGATCTAGCTTAATATTTATAGCCGATGCATTTGGTAAATTTTTTGGTGTCATAACTGTGTTTAAGTAACTGTATTATGGCATGTCGGTGAAATTTTGGGGTCAGTGCCAATAAAACAATACCAAATTCAACAATTCTGAATGTATTTTTATAAGAGTTGTACCTCATTACAAAAATTGAACAGAAGACGCCACCGGTATAAATAAAAAAACGGCCTTTTTGTTTTCTTGTTAAGTTGGAATAAAACATCTTGAAAATTGCCCCTTTGTGCTACGCAGAAATATAAGCCGGATAGTTTTATTGACTGTAAAGATGTTGCTAACACTTACCTGCTACGTTGTGTATTTTAAAAAGATAATTAGTAAAGTACTGCTGAAAACACACCTTGAAACGTTCCTTTATATAGGACTTGCTTATTAAAGTACTTCAGGAGGGCGTTGTTTTAGAGAACGCCCATCTAAGTTCTGCGAGTCATTCACCTTGTATCTGCATAAAATCTGGATCTTCTTAGTTAAGAAAGGCCTGAAACAAACGTACAGTATATTGAGAGACACCCGCAGGCTAAAGTATTGAATACTAATTTAGTCACCACTCGGAAAAGAAATTCATTGACCCCACCCATTGGAAAAAAATTAATAATTTTTTTTTTAGATTCTAACACCAGACTCACCTCCGTCTAATGCTTTAAACTCACCAAACTCTCCAATTGAACAATAATATGTGAGCACGCACTGAACCGTAGATAGAAATATAAGAAATATAACGACAAATTCATCAAATGGTTCAGATAACGCTTGAGGGAAAAAGACACATGTAGTGAGTACATGCCGCTCCCATTCCGTCTAATAACCCGGACGCTGATTCAACGAAAGCAGTAACATCTGGCAACCAGACCTTGTGAGAAGGCATCTTTTTTCCCATGAGAGGAATATTATCGATTTATCTCTAGGCACTGCAGTTGCCCCACGTGTTCCTAGGAACGGTATCTTGAGACAAGAGGTCTATTTGAACAGGTTTCATTTTCTCTTAGGACTTTTACTAACACTCGGGCAGGAGGACGCCGCATTTTTGGAAACCAGTCGCCATGAAGCGATTCATTGTTTTATCCCTCTTGCTGGTGCCCACCCTGTCAAAATACAAAGGTAAGTTTTGCAAAATAATTATTTGGACATATTTTGTAATTTCCAGCTTGAACAGTTTTATGCGTTTCATTTTTTAGTTGTAGTTATTTCTTTACCTATGATTTTAATTTGGCGTTTATAAGCTTTGCTTGCGTTCAAATTACCTCCCAACACTGCGTGAGCGCACCATGGTTTCAAGTCCTTGGCTCCGAAAATTCCTGAATTTATACCCAAGTTATATTGTATAACGTGGCGCTCATTCTGCTAAAAGAAATTCAGGAAAAAGGTATGAAGAGGAACGCTGTGACGATATAGAATAATCAAATCCTTGTCCTGGTTGATAAAAAAGTTACCTATAGTATAAGCTTCATCGCTAAAAAAGGATCATTCAAGGGCTACACAGTCCAGCCCTTAGCGAAAACTAATACGTTTGAAATATACCACATTCTAATTTGAGTGCATTTGAAATACAATTCATAATTGTAAGTACACGAAAAATATACCGAAAATATAAACTTCTTTTTTTGTTACTTAGTACTAAAATATACTTCCAAAAACCATTTTAAAATACCTTTACTTAAACTACATTTGAAGTTCCCTTCATGCGTTTTGAAATATGTAAATACTAAATTAATAGGCACAAAATACCTTTCACATATATTTCTTGAAATATATATTTAATTCATGCAAAATATACTCCAACCCTAAAAAAATGGAGCAATCAAGAATACGTGCAGAATACTCTTAAAATACCTGGAAATCGTAAATACTGTTGTGTTATACTCTAAGTACCTTTTGACTGCAATACTTTGGTAGTTTGACTTAAACTACCAAAATATTTAAAAGCTCCCCTTCTGAAGTTCACTTCAAGCAGATATGGAGTACACTGAAGCGCCTAAATACATTTGATTAGTTTGGCAATTGAATTGCGCAGCATCGCACTGATAAATCAGCCCAGTTTATATTATTGTTTCCTTTTTTCTATCAAGAACACACCTGATCAGTTCCTTGCACACCAATCACAAACGGGGTTCGGGAACTACAACCACAACATTTGCTGATGCTGGAAAGCTTCAGCAGGTGCTGTGACCAGATACGTTTGGAGTGGTTTTGTTAGCACAATGTTAGTTCACTGAACGTGTATACTCACCATTGTACGTGATGTGAATAGTAACTTTAATACAGTGACATTAACTACCATATTAAATAGTCAACTACTAAAAAGGAAAGGCAAAACAACTACTGTAAAATATTTATTTTTCGCGGGCTCAATATTTTGCGATTTAGGTCAAAGTTGGAGTTTTGGAATAATTCGCAAATTCTAATTTTCGCGACGCGCTGGGATCGCAATATAGATTTTAATGTTTTTACATTTTGCCGGAATTGTTCACGGGACCTATTTTTCGGAATTGTAGGCGATTCGCCAACTTTGCGAGAATTAGGTCCTCACGAAAATAAAGTCGTTTACAGTATTTTAAAGTGAAGAAACTGCCTTGATTCGCTTCGCCCTGAGTGGTGCTACGCAGAGAAGCAATAACATGTATTTTATGAGCCGTTTGTGTGGATATTCTTTTAGGGACTGTGCGGAATTGTTATTAGTTGTACCAATGCCTTTTAGTAAGAGATATCGTCCACGAACTTCAAAACACTGTTTCCCCCTTGACAGACTCCCGAGGAGAAGATCGAATACTTGTAACCTTAATAAGCGCAGAGGTGGTCACCGAAAAAATTATTACCTTCAATATGTAGGCTATATAAGGCTCTAGAGCAGTCAACGGGACTGTGAATGAGCTCTTCAGTGCGTCATGGTGTTTGTGTTTGTGTTCGTTTCTAATGTGGCTTTGTGAGATGTATTTAGTAGTGCCTTCAAATACCACCGGGACACCATTTGCTGACAAAATCGAAAATAAAAAAAAAAATTGTGTAACCGGTTTTTAATCCACAAATGGCATCTTGAGTGTGAAGGAATAATATTTTTGGTATATCTAAAATATTTTTTGATTCATATTTATAATGTATTTTGAATACATTACGCGCGTATTTCGAATGCGGCCAAAATAATACAGAATAAATACAAAATGAATATTCGTACTAAATACATTTCAACTTCGTTTGAAGTACGGCCTCTTTTTGCTAAGGGAGGGGCCGCTTTAATGACAACCATTTCGGATAGGGGCACCTCAAGGTAGCGTTTTAGGGTTATTGCCTTTTAACCTGCTTATTAATGATCTAGTCAGTATGGAAAGAATACCCAATTTTTAAATTATGCTGGTGATACTAGTTTATTTGTTTAAGGAATAATACAGACAGGCTAATTTCATATCAAAACACCTGCCTAGCAAAAGCTCAGTACGTTAAGTGCCTTAAATTCTTTAATAAGAAAAGAAAAGTAAAAAAAAAACGATACTTTTTTATCTAAAAGCTACAGTATGCTATGCCACCACAAAATCGTGAACTACTTTGAGGTTGAATTTGTAACTACTTTAGGCGTGTTTTTCCTCCAACATATGTAATGGGAATTTTATATTTAAAACCTTACACCTAGCTAGTAAATATCATAGGTGTTCTACACACGTATCGTCGTATCTTGCCGACTAGTCTAAAACTTCTGATATATAAAGCTTGATTCAATTCTCGCTCATCCTATTGTCACCTAGTCTGGGGAACAACGACAAATACCAACCCGAATAAATTATTTGCGTTGCAGAAGAAAGTAATTCCGATCATAGCTAATGCCTTGTATAACGCATATGCTGAACCACTTTTTTACAAATGAAGTCACGCAAAAAAAATTATATTTCATGCATATAGCTGGCGACAGTGTACGCTGCATCCCGTGAAATTCTTAATCATTCATCAAAAGAATTTATAAACCAACTTTAAGTAATATTCTATAAGGAGTGCGCAGCGCCGGATCCTTGAGAGCGCCGCGTCTTCGAACTAATTAGGGGTTACAGGTTGTTCAGCCTGCACTAACTTCTGCAATGATGTTTTAAAATAAGTTTCTTGTGTTGATGCAATAAATACCAGAGCAATACGCAACAATAGTATCCTCTTGCGGATAAAGGTTTGACTATATATCACTGATATTGGTTACTGCCTTATAAGTTGGTATTTTTCCTGTCGGCCGACCTGTTAGAAAGGGGAAATGGGATTCGTCATGCTGCACTTCTGCAACTTCTTTGCTGCCTCCATCACCCATTCGTAATATGCTAGTAAACGCAATTAATTTAATTTGATTTTTAAAATACTAAAATCACATACTTTTAATATTAGAACGCGATATGGCGTTCCTGCTTATTTGTCTAGTTAAACGCTAAGGGTGTCCAGATTTTACATCGCCAGTAACGACGATTGGTAACATCTCATGAAATCAAATTTAGCAGCTATTTTTGTTTAGGACTACCGCAGTTTAGGAGTTCTTTGAGTGTGCCAAAATGGTTTTCTTGCGTTGCCGATCAGGAAAGGCAAAAAAGAAGTCATATCTTAATGCATGCTTTGCAGATGATTAAAGTGTGTGCTTAAGAACTAAGTCATGATGCGCCTTCTATAGGGTTCAAAGGTAATTGGAATAAATAAATAAATACATAAATAAGTAAATAAATAAATAAATAAATAAATAAATAAATAAATAGTTGCGCCCTCATGCCTAAGAACTATTTACGTAAATATGCAATATAGCTAATGATATTCCAATGCCAGCACCCGACAACGCTGCATTCGTCTTTCATATGATGCAACATATGGATAAGTCGTACACAATATTGTATAAAGGTTATGAATGTTTTAAGTTAGGGCTTAATCCGTGTAATGGAAGACGTGGCTTAACGTTCAAAGTTTAATTGAGTTATGCACTAACTCGTTGGTAAGAAATCTCCCACATAGGGTGGTGAATTTTTTTTATTACTCGTTATGTTTATGGCAAAAAGAACACTCTTTCCTTGATACAAAAATTAACTCGAACGTAACAGCTTCCCTCAATTATTCACCAGCTTGCCTCCAACTGGAACCAGAAAACGCAACTATTACAAACTCGCATCAAGAACAGATTTCGTGATTAAATGTAACAGAGAGGAAGCATATATGTTGCATTAGTTACTGAAAAATCAATGAAACTAAAGGTTTTTCTAGGGTCCTTTTTATTTTTTTTATGCGTTTTAATTGAAATAACTTACCTTCATATAAATACAAATTGTCCCTAATGAATAAAGGAAACACAGATATTTTCACTGCCCGTGAATTATTGTTTATGACAAGAAATAATAGAAATGACGTAGACAGGTACGTAACGAGGATGTGGATACATGCCTTCGCGAGTTGAGTCTACTCAGGCCGGACCGGAATAATGTAGATGTCGAAAGAAAAAATAGGTGGACAAGGACAGCTGCACCAGTGTAAAGTTAAAAACTAATTTGCTTGAGGGTTTTTTATATTCGCTTCTGGTGTTCATTATCATAATCAGATCCCTTTCGTGAAGGTCGGCTGGCCTCGACTATTTATCTTCGCAAGGGAGAAACAGATGTCCAGCGCGGGTTGACGTTTCGTTCCATAAAGTTTTTGTCTGCAACGACTAGATAGGGGTAGACAGACATCAATTTAATGTTTGCTCCCTCACCTTGCCAATATGGGGAATTTTTGACCTACCTAACAAACCGGTATAATCATTTTTTTTATTTACTAACCCCAGCAAATCAACTAACGTATGTAGAATTCATTTCGCTTTAACCCTGCATTTTGCCATAACAATAACAAACAAGGTGTGTCCCTTGGAAGATCATCACGGCGCTTCAGTTAACTTCTCTCGAGAATTAACCTTATGCTGTATAAACTTGTCGTAGACCAAATTGTTGGCATATTATTCAAGTTAAACAATTATCAGTTGTGTTTTTTAAAATTACTGTAAAATTTAATCCTCTGGCAAACTTAATATATTTTTTTTCGTTCAGGACGCCTCAGAAATGTTTATTTTTATTTTTGTTCTTTGTATTTTTTTTTTTCTGAACTTAGGTCATGTACCTACGGATATCCCTAAACATCGGTGCAAATTGCACGCAACGAATTCAATAAATGTATTTCTTTGCCATATCTTTGTAGACGAGAGTCTCGGAATGTTTCTTCTATTTTTTTTTTTATGGGAAGGAAAGGCGCATACCTGTGCTCAAATTGTTTGCCTTTCGCTGGAAAAGGAAAGTGCGGAAAGCCTGAAATTCCGCCTGACACCGACGAGGGAGACAGGATCATCGGCGGTCGCACTGCAGTAGGCGGAAGTTGGCCATGGCAGGTCGGCATCTACACGACCAAGTACTCACACTTCTGCGGCGGCGCGCTCATCAGTGACCAGCACGTGTTGACAGCGGCCCATTGCGTCTGGTGAGAAAGGTTCCGATACTTTCTCTTGCATGGTGCCTTTAAGCCGCAATCAGACCTCTCACACGTCGTACAAAAAACAGGATGATCGTTGCACACACGGTGGTATAATTCTGTGCGGTCACATCTTACGCATGACCGAGGCATGTTTTCTTCATAACTATGCATACTTCGAACGTGTCTGCAGGCAGTCTTTTTATCACCAATATAACTGAGTTGTAGTACCAGAAAGAAACATGCCCCTGACATAGTTGCAGACTGCCTTTGCATGATGTTTTAGTATTGGGATCGGTGGTTTAGTAGACCAGTGAACTGCGTAAGAGGATCGCCAACATCGCTGTTAAATACAACTATGTGACTTGTAAATATTTTCTTTTATAAGTTTAGTAGAAAAGTTACCATTAAAAAAAACTATCTAATGTCACGTAGATGCTTGCGATTTCATTAGTGTGACAAGATTATACATCCTGCATTTTGTTAACAGCTGCAATCGCAGATCAGTGCTCTTTAAGTACTCTTAATGCGCTTGTTCGTTGTTATTTCCGTTGCATTCGGGGGTTCTTAATTCTGTAGCTTCGATACACTATATAAACTCACAGCTCTCGTCATTCACATATAATGCGGTGCGCATAAAAAAGATTTAACAATCGCGGGAGAAAAACAAAAGGATTCAGAAATATTCCCAGCATAATAATCGTGAGCTTTAAGAGCACTAAGTCTGAATTATAAATAATAGAACGAAAAAAAAACACCTTTTGCGCGACTGACGTTTTTTTTTATGAGATATATTTATATGCAAGTTGAGTTAGACAAACACTGAGAAAAAAAAGTGAAAGCCGTTTACAACTTCCTGTAACGCCGAATCGGAGCGCAGCTCTTGAGGAGGAGGAGTGGAGGGTATATTCCTCCTCCTCCCTCGTGATCATGCCTGCTAGTCCTCCTCCCCTCCTGCTCCCCCTCCCTCTCCTTTACCACCTCCTCGTCCTTCAAGCTCCTCCCCTCCCCTCGCCTCCGCCTCCTCGTCTCTCCTCCCACCCTCCTCCACCTTCGTACTGCTTTCCTCCTTGCCGCTCAAGCCGGACAATGAGGGGAGGAGGGGAGGAGGAGGAGGGGAGGAGGAGGGGGAGGAGGAGGGGAGGAGGAGGGGGAGGAGGAGAGGGAGGGGCGCGGTTACGCCGACGCCGACGGCGACGGCGACGCCGACGGCGACGCCAACGGCGACGCCGACGCCGCTCAGGCTGGAAACGGGCCCCTAAGAGCTGCGCTCTAAAAACACACTATCATGACTTCAAACTTAGTTACTCAGTCAATACGTCCGTAGACGGCCTAGCGCATTGCCAGAGAAGTCGCTTCCAGAAAACGCAAGTGGAAGAAACTGAGAGAAAAAGATGAAAAGATCTCTCGCGGAGACGTGTCTGCTTCATGCTGACGTTCATGCATTTATTCCTACGGCCTCACCCCCCCCCCCCTTTTTTTTCAGGGTCGCTTGCACAAACACATGCACACATACGAACACATTTTCACACTTTTTTTTATGCGAGCGCAGATTTGTTCAGTAAATATTTGTCATATCCCAAACCCAAACAAGTTCTTTATTACATTTTCACAAAACCATGAATTAAAATTAGACTAAATGTAATTATAAAAGTTCATTCAGGACTTTTTAGCATATATTTTAAAACACTTTTTTGCTGTGCTCTTTTTGACCCATACTTGACTTTATGACAAGATCAGACAACACGCCAAAGAAAAAAAAAAGAGACTAACTTATTCAAATTTGTTAATTCATGGCGCCAAACTGGGGTCTAATAGGGGATTCCTCCAACACGCTTGTAATTGCGACAGTGATTTGCATTCGTACTAACAAGCAATAAAAACACACATTTTTATTTTCTTTGATTTGCTACAGGAGTTCCAAAGTGCAATTCATGAGAAGACTATGTCAGTCACAACCGAAGTACCATGCCGTGAAGCCTAAATAAGGTGTTTACTAGGAGATTGAGGCAACACCCCAAAAAAGCTATGTATCAACTGAAAATGCGAACAGTGAAGCCTTCCCCTGGAGCTTTTTGGCGATCGCGTACCAAATGTTTCGGTCTCTACCCAGAGGATATCGGATTTGGTTCCACTCCGGTTTTTCGAAATTTTAAGTGCCTCAAAATGTTTTTGACAAAAAAAACATATTTCGGTTTATTTCACCTCTGAAAACGTGAGCATCTTTTTGTTTCAGGGAAAGGATGGCGACTGATATCAATGTTCACCTTGGCTCGCACCAACGCCTAGCCATGGACAGCACCGAAGTGTTGGTCGGAGTGGATGATGTCTGCGTGACTCCCAATTTTCGCACTACTGGAAAGAGCGTAGGTTACGTTTTCCTGGAAAAAAAACATTTGGAAATATTCTACAGTTGTCCGCAGGAGTGAAGGCGCATTAACAAAAACTTCCTTCACTCGCGTGACTCAAAGGATGCACTTTGTTCCGGACGCTTCCGATTGGAATTCAGATGACGGATCTTTTTTTTTAATGCTAAGCAATTGTTGGCCGGGATTGCGATAGCCTAAATTCTAATAGGCGTTGAGATTTCACACCTAAGTCTTCGGCGATCTGATGTTGCGATGGCACAAAAAGTACTGGTTGCAAAGCGAACCCGCCCTCTAGCGGTTCTTAATAAGTTAAGCTAGATCTTTTAAGTTAGACCTAAATACCAGGGGTTTATATAAAGGATCTTAACATTCCGTTTCAGCACACATTATATTTATGGGTTCATGCTTTCGAATGCGAAATTCTGGTGTCGGACGACAGCTCGGTGCTTATCTAATCCAGTGGTCGGCAACCAGCGGCCCGCGGGCCGGATCCGGCCCGCGAGGTAGTATCATACGGCCCTCAGCCTCCCGGTAACCCCCGCTCCCCCCTACGCAGTCAGCTAAAAAAAAAATAAGGTTGACTAATCCGCTGCACGTCTGCGAGCAGACTTTTCCACGAATGAAGCGCATAAAATCCAACTTCCGCTCACGAATGACTGACGAGAACCTCCGCAATGTTTTGCGACTCGCAGTTAGCAGCTTGAATGTGGATGTTCGTAGTTTGGCGAGCGCAGTTCAACACCAAAAGTTTCACTGAGAGGAGTCTCTAGGTTTTCGTGTAAATGTCGTATCTCATGTTGTTTGTCGTGAATTAAAGAAACTGTTCATTTTCGATTTATGCACGTCAATGTAAATTCGTGCAAGTGGTTTTTTTTTCAATTTTTACCCCCCCCCCCCCCCCCCCCCCCGCTGCTTGCCGTCCGCCCCGTTCCGCCTTGGCTTAGCGGCGGCTCGGCCCGCTTCGCTAAAAGGTTGCCGACTACTGATCTAATCTAATGGCAAGGAAAACAGGGCACACCTCCAGGTAAAATGGGCATGACCAGAATACTTACAAATCAAATCGGTGCGATAAGAAAAACAGAAACAAGATTTGGACGAGGAGGGAGCAAGAGAAAATACGTAGCCTTGATGGAAGTTCAGTGCGGTCCGTTTCCCGGGTAACCACCAAATAAAGCTGGGGCTAAAATTTTCTTTTCGTGAAGCATGGGCTTGCCTCATCAAAAAAAAAAAAAAATCTTGAATTTGGGGTTTTTCGGTTATCCCCGAGTTTTATCAAGCCGACTTAAAAATTAATATTATACTTGTATCAGTATATAGCGAAAAAATAGAACCCTAATCATATTAACTTAACATATCGTAAGTTGAAACAACTTAAAAAAAATTATATTGTGTATACTGAGGTTAGTTGAGCGCTAGCCCACTCGGACACCGATCCCCCTATTCAGATGACGGGATTTTTTTTTTAATGCTAAGCACTTTTTGGCCGGGGTTCTGAGAGCCTGAACTCTGATAGGTGTTGAGAATTCACACCTAAGTCTTTGGCGGTCCCATGTTGCGATGCCACAAAAAACACTTGTTGTAGAGCCAATCCGCCCTCTAGCAGTTTTTAGGAGGTAGAGATTGATCGTTTAAGTTAGACCGAAATACCAGGGGTTAATATAAAGGATCTTAACATTTAGTTTAGGCACACATATTATATTTATGGTTTCGTACTTTTGGGTAATAATTTTTGGTGTCGGGCGAAAGCTCGGTATTTATCGAATCTAATGTCAAGGAAAACAGGACGCGGGCGTCGGATTTCCCAACCTCCAGAAAACATGGCCATAACTCGAATGCTTACAAATAATCTCGGTTTGACAGAAAAAAAAAGAAAAAAAAAAGAAGCAAGATTGGGAAGAGGAGCGAAAAGGAGGCTCGGAGTACGTGGAGCTCGGAGCACACCAGCTCGGAGCACGTGGAGCGAAAGCTCGCGCTGCAGAACCCAGCGATCCTGGGTTCCATCCCCACCCCTGCCCGCTTTGATCTGGATGAACATCGTACCTGCTTGTTGTCGTGTATCCCTTCAGCGTGGTGCACGTCAAAAGACGCCAGGTTAGCTGTTGTACCGCACTGACTTAATTGCTCGTCTATATCTAAAACACCAGACGCCCTCTAAGACAGACTAACTTCAAGCTGTATAAACATACAAACAACAATTTCCCTTGAGGATAGGTGAAACGGAAGCAGCATTGTCAAGTAATGTGATGCCAACTCGTAAGAATATGTTTAGATTGTCTCTACAACGGCTTTTTGTTGAAAATAGTGACATAATTATTACTGGAAATGGCTGTCCTACACCCTTCAATATGTTTGCGTTCTTGTGTTCTGTTAATGGTGCTTATAACTCGTATTTACCTTCGGAATTCTTGATGTATAAAACAATGAATGAAAAATCTATATAATCTACGCCCCTAAGGATAAGTATGAATTGCATGCCTTTGTAAGGGGGTAAACATGAGAAAAGAAAGTGAAACCTTGGCAAACGAATTCAATATTTTCGTGGAGAGAAGCCACATTCGGACGCACTTAAGAAAGATGCAAGTGACTTGGGTAACACCTCGTTGAGTAGCACATAACTGTTACGAGTGTAGCATTATTTAACAGATTAAAAAAAAATCAAGTCTATTATGTGTTTTTTAAGCTTATTATCAGATTTCAAACCACTGTGAGATAAGATTTTAACGCACATAAAACCAAATTTGAAAGTTAGGCTTTCCTGAGAACCTATCCAGAAATGGTGATGTCTTGACGGAAAATACTATGGCAGATACGTATGCGTCATAAAGTAACTGAAAATTGGGATAAAAGGAAAAAAAAACTTAAGTTTCAATCTTTGAGCGGGTGACCCGCGGACGGGATTTTGGCAGCGAACCTTCGACTTCTTTTATAGCATTACTCAATTTCAAATGTATCCACCTTACTCTATCTACATAAGATAATATGTATAAAGACATAGCAAAATACTTGGTCAGCGCAATTGCCATTCTAGAGATGATATCGTTTAAACATGATTAAATACTGCCGCAGTAAACACGGACGATGAGCAAGAAACAAACACGACAAGACAACGGCTGACTCACAACCGAAGTTTATTCTGTGAAAAGGAAACTTCCTAAAAAGATTACACACACAGAGAACGTAATGAGGGGGTTACCCAGTTTGGGGGGGGGGGGGGGGGGGGGTCTATTAGTCACTGTCTGCCAAGAAAAGGAAAACATGTTTACTTTACTTTCGTCAGCTTTCAAGGAAGGCAATATTCGACCCACTCAAAAATAGTAAAGAGGGCTATTGCCATTTCATGCCTTCGATCGGCCCTCAAGAAGTTGCGCGTTCACTCGATAAAAGAGTTTCAAGTGGCAGTTGCCTTAGGATGTTGGGGTTTCCGTTGGGCCAATTGATTGAGGTTACGGGTTCTCTTTTGAAACAAGCACAATGCATAGAAAAGAGAAAGACAGGTGCGGAAAGCCGTCAAACGATGGTATTCTCATACGTTCATCGGGTTTACCACAACCTAAATCAGGTGGGAGGTCGATACGGGATCCTTGTTGTGTTACAAGTTCCACAAAAGATGAACCAGGTATGCGCGCGATTCAGCGCTAGCGCTGACAAACGTCCGCAAGCTAAGTGCACGAAAAACATCAACAATCGTTTATGATTTGTACATCGGATGTCGTCTACCGGATACCCATATCGTGTGGAAGATCTTAAGTAAGCCATACCGGAAGGTGTTTAAATGAAAGGTTGAGAGAGCATGCTTACTCCTTACGGGCTACGGTCGGGGGACTTACCACTACCATGCCAGGGATTGTTCATGTCTCGCTTTTTTTAAAGACACAGTTGTTGTGGGCAGACACCGAGACGAAATGACTTGATAAATAATTGAAGCATCCTTTGTTTCCATATGTGTTAGTGAACCATCGGTGGCGTAATCCGAGAATGATATTACGTAGCTTCGGTCTAACGTAAGTGCTAATCTTTAAGGCAGTATTTCTGCGGCCTCTAGCTTCTTGCTAAGCGTGCGTTTTAATCTGTGTGTGTGTAATCATGTTTCAGAAGTTTCCCTTGTTTCTTTTTCATAGAACACACTTCAGTTGCCAGTCAGCAGTTGTCTTGTCGTGTTCGTTTCTTGTTCGTCGTCCGCGTTTACTGAGGCTGTATTTCATAATGAATTGGGCGCTGTCAACTGGCCCAGTTTACGACCGTATACACCCTAAAAAATGCCTGCGCATCTATTTATTCGAAGAACTCTCAAAGAACCAATCGCTGCGATCTACGAAATCAACTCAGCCAATGATGAGGTGGAACATCTGTTTAGACCTACATATTAAGTCTGCGCTGTGTGATTACGCAATGCAAGCATGACGCTTTGCATTTGCTTAATTTCACAGCGCGACTTTATTTTTAGGTCTAAACAGATGTTCCGCTTCATTATTCGCAGAGTGATTTCGCAGATCGCAGAGATTGACTCTTCGAGTGTTTTGCGGGTAAGTAGATGCGCAGGAATGTTTTAATGTGTACTTGCCTAATATCATACTTGTGCCGCGTATTATCTCCTATACGCATACCTGAAGTAGGCTTATAACTGATCCGTGCCACCTGCTTCGTGGTTAACAAACCGGGGCTCGGACGCAAAAGCGCGTATAGGATGCTTAGAAATGCGGCCGCATTCGCAGTAAAATATGGCACGATCATAGAGTGACAAATCATCCTTCTCCTTTTTTATAAATATACCCTAACATGGTTTCGACGTAGTGCAATCCTGCGATTGATCCCCGCAGGCAGGCTTCGAGGACATTGCCATCCTAAAGCTGAGCCGCCGTGTAAACACCAGCGCAACGGTGCAGCCCGTCTGCTTGCCAGCGAGCGGCCAAGAACTGGCCAGTGGATCGGAGCTCTACATCACGGGCTGGGGTGCCACGAAAGGTGAGATATCACACCCACGGCATGACGAATATGCTGCGGTCACTGCGACAGCCATGGACGACTTCAAGAACGCGGAAGCTTATTATCTTCACCTTCCTTACCTACCGATTTTCCTTTCGGTGTTCCTTACCGACTCACGCCACAGTTCCACGCGTTGTTGGGCGATAATAACTAGGTAGCTAGGGCCTCGCCACGCCCTTTGTAATTATCGGTTACTTTGCATACTCCGTTCCGCATTAAGCCCGAGCGCAGCCCACACTACGCTCCGTTGGGACCGATCAAGCTGCGTCAAGGCTTAAACCAATCACGCACAAAAAATTACGCCGTGATCCCGCACTTCTTTCCAGTGCGCGATTATTTTAGCCGTTGATAGCAGACGTGCAAAGGCAATCAGTTCCGTCTCGAAGCACATTTGGTGGCGCATCTTGCATGGCCTGAAGTCCCGAGATTAGAGCTTCTTACAAGTAGTGGCATTCTTTGCAGCGCCGACTACGTGATGCTTCAGGTTTTAGAGAGCGAATGGCGGCACAAAGCAGAGGTTTCAACTGAATGCCGCCATCTTGCTCCTGCGTAATGTGCTTTGTCATTCGTATTGGTTATCGTTGCTTGTAAAAGAGATATCGAGGGACTTCAGCATGGACCCCCATCGGATGGTAGAGTCCGCTGCACTCCGACGTATAGTGTGAAATTCACTATATTCAGAAAGAGCTCGAGAGAAAGCAGGACGTGGCTTTTTATACTCACGTTTTCCACGTTGCAATGCGTTCTTCTGAGTTTTTTTTTATCTTCCCGCAAATATAATTGGCTGTGGAACAACACTAAGTTGCCAGGGGTTCGCCACACCCCTTGCTCTGTTTTTAAGCTTTCAGTGGCAAAGTAGCCTTCTTACATGCAAGACTGAAGCAACTAGTTCTTGTTTTATGTTATGCTTTTCTGATATCATTAACTACCGAAGACATCACAAGGTGCACGTGGTTTAATTAAGACGTAAATTGTTTGTCTTGATTTCTGAACCAACTTTCTTGAAATGTGTGGTTTCCGCGATAGCAGCGATGAAGGCGGGCAGGCGTCTTAAGCGGCGAAAAATTACAAACACGAATTTTGACTGATGAACAATTTTACAAATTTAAGCACAATAGTTCGCTGTAAAATAGCTTTGGACCAACGCATTTAACCGCATGCCCGTTTATTGAGCTTTGTCCGAAAAAACGGTGTGGCATATTTCTTCTTTAAACTATTATTTCAGTACGAAGCCCTCGTTAGATTTGAGCATTTTAAAAGTTCTCGTCAAGATTTAAGACGGTTCATTTCGCATTGTGAAATGCAATGACTTCTCGAGAGCCTCCGGAGAAACAGCTTACAAATTCACACCTCCAGCTTTTTGCAAAACCTTGTGTGAAACGCGCAACACTGCTAACTCTGAGGAAGGTCAGTAAGTTCACTGTCCTGTAGAATACAGACAGTCAGTCATGACAATCAATGAAAGGATGGCAGCGAATGACGAAGCTAAGATTGTGAATATTATGATATATGATATTATGATTATGATTATGATTATATTATGATTATTTGAATAAGGTAATGTGCTCTGGGACCATGAGCAAGCGAAATGTAACGTTCATTTTCCAAAAAGTTAACGTCTCTGCGTTCATCGCTTTTTTTTTTCTAAAATCTTATTTGGAGTTTTGTAACTTTCTGGGATATCGGTATTGTTTGCTGTGATTCGCTGTGTACTGTTCTGCAGGAGATTTAAATCAGGTATTTTTAGAATGTACCATGAGCAAGCAGTTTACAGTTTTTGCGTGTTTCTCTAACAACTGAATAGCTGTCATCAAAATTGTTATGGTGAAAAAATTTGCTCATTCGGGACACCTAGTTATGTTCTCAAATTTTGGGTTTGCTTTTCAAAACATTTCATAACAATGTGAAAAACGCCTAAAGTTCTTCTCGTGTTGTCAATCTCCCGATGTATATATATATATATATATATATATATATATATATATATATATATATATATATATATATATATATATATATATATATATTTGAGTGCTTGACCTCGAATGCAAAAGCTTCTTAGAACAGGTTTGAGTGGATAACGCCGATAGCGCATTTGCATCGATTATATGCGAAGAGGAATCAAAGGGGCAATGCAGGCGAGCTAGTTTAATCTCAGAGCTTGGTGAAGCAGCTCCTTGTCAGTTCATAAAGTTAGACACCGAAATAACTAGGACGCAAGAAGAGAGGCTGACTGGACGAGGTGTACTTTCAAATAAACTTTATATTGAAAAAAAAAAAACACGAACGCGAACACAAGTTGAAGTACGCACGCGCATGGAAAATATTTTGCATTCACCACGCAGATAATAAAGTGGCAAAAATTAGCACGTATTTCAATGTGATACGCTCGTTTCTAAGATACGAATATTCCTTATCTGTCAAAGTTAACGAGGGAGCACTGATACAGACATTGGTTCCATGGGATCTAACCTTAAATGCTTCCAGAATTTCGGGCTAAATTTTATTCCTCCTCTTTCCAATATTTTTGTCTCATTAATATTTGGGTTACACTCACAGTGATCACAATGTACGGCCAAGTGACGAGACGGAGATTGCCTAGTTGGCGCATAGTGTTTTCTGATTCCATAGTTAATGCATCCCCTCGTCTGGTCAACATACACCCTCCCCGTATGACAGGGGAATCTCGTGAATGACGGCAGTGACACACCCGCGGTACTTTGCGACGTGCTTTTTTTTGCAAGCCTCTCCTATCACAACGGAGTCATCTGGGCTTCTATGAATTTATTTTGCACAATGCAGGTAGTTTATTTAGAGCAGAAAGAAAACAGAAATGCCTTACCGATTAGCTAGCTTCTTCAAGTTGTGGGATAGTCTATGTGTGTAGGGTAATACCGCAGGACTGACCGCCCTCCTTATGCTCAGCTCACAAACTTATCTGTTCTGCTTTTTAGCCTCCTTTAAAAAAATGTTTCTGACACATCGCAAAGCACACTGGGACGGAAACCCGCCGCTGCCAATCTGCTGAGCTGAGAGTTTAATGATGAAGGCCTATTTTCTTGTGTCCACGTTGTTTTTGGTGTCTAACTTTATGGATTAACACCCAACTAGCTCAAATCGCCGTTTTAACTCTCTGTCCTTGATTATTTCGTGGTGTATCATCGATTTGTAAATACGAAGGAGCTTGCCATTTTTATGTGCACCTTTAATTCTTATTTTAGAAGTGCCATCTAAGATAGGCTAACGCAGAGTACATGCTTTACTCATAGACATGCTATGTACCCTGTAATCAAACTATCTTTGTTATAATAAATTCCGGACTTTGCACAACTAGGTGATATATGTATTGCTAATTACACTGAACAAAAAAGAGAGCAAAAACAGTGGGTACGAAAACAGATTATTTTCAGTGACACGAAAGTAGGATGTTTTATTTTTCGTGTGCACATTCAAATGGTTTAAAGCCAAATCCCAGATCTGGCCAGTTGTAAGCACGAGCGAAGCCAACATCGGATTTTTTTAATATTTGTACGTAATAAATATGTGCCTTTTATATGAGACCATTTTAGAGTATGGGATTTTGTGTTTTTTCTCATTTGTTTTATACGTTGTTTTTTTGTTTACCGTTTTTGTTTGAATTTGTTTGAATCTGCTCATACTCATTTGTTTGAATTCTGCTCGTGTGGGTAACACCGTTTGGTGTATAAAGTTTTAACCTCTTGCTGAATGTGAGGAGTGCAGAATATTATATTCACTGGGAGCTTGCGGAGGCCAGGGCGTGGATCATTATGTTAACGCGTCTTGCTTCCTGATTTGTTCTTCGACGTCCTTTCCAAGTATTGCCCAAATATCGTTGGAGGCGGAGCAATAGCCACATGCTCGGGACTTACCACGCGCTGAGTTTCTTAAGATGTCAGTGCCTGTATATTATCTTGATATGGTAAGGCATGGGCCTGATTTTTTTTTATTCCCCACCTTATCCAATTGAAGAAAAGAAAAAAAGTAGAACGTTGAGAAAAGTCGGTCTAAATTGTTTAATCTTTTTGGCGGTTTTCACTGTTTTCTTTTAGCGAAAAATATGAAGTCGAAGTCACTGGAACTCAAGCAGCTTCTGACCACAGCCATTCCAACCAAGGAATGTTCGGACAGGGATGGTGTACCAGCACCCCCAAGTCGCTTCTGCGGCACGCACCGTTCCGGTTCATCCTGCTACGTGAGTCACTTTCCTCGGGGCCTCCTGGTAGGCCCGTTCGCCGGACTCTTTGCAGGCTATTTACGCGAAAGAACGAAATCTTCGAAATGGGCGCCTAAATTATATGCTTCAAAAAGAGACAGAATATGTAGAAAATAAACGGAAGCAATCAGAAATAGCTCTTTATTTAGATATTTTTACTTTGTACAATTTCAACGGAAGTTGAAACTGTTTAAAGAAAAACCCTTAGTACGAGTGAGGATGTAAACATTTTCTAAGCTTTTAAGTACACATAAAAAAACGTTTAGGAAATATTTTTTTTTACATATTTCCAGCTTAAGTGCTGCTCATTAAATAGTTCCCTGAAATTATTTCTGCTTTTATAGTCAACAGAAAATAATCATCTCCAAATATTCCCTTTGCAAAAAACGGTAAGTTAGCATATTTCGCTTCGTCTTTTGCTTGGTATTTCTGCTGGTACGGGCACAAATACAAGCAGGATACAACCATATACAAAATAAAAACAGAATTGGAGCAGAATCCGAACTTAAATGCTCGTATTCTTGATTATAAACTTTATTTTATTTTTTTCACCCTTTTTTGTGTTATGTACAATGCAATACCTTTAACAAGAATAATACCAATCGCCATTTGTTCGAAACCCTTCGTTTCACTTTTTATTATTGGCGATATTTTTTTTTTTATAATTCCAGGGTAGATGATCTTGTTTTAGTGTTTTTGTTTCTTTTTCTCTCTATTCACACAGGCTACATTTTTTGCGACCCAATCGCGTTTGGGACCATCTCGATCACCGCAAAGTGAGGCAACCCTCTTTGTTAGACTCATCTTCCAAAATCGATTGGTTCTGTGACAGAACCTATTCTCGTTTCTCTAATTATCGATTGATGGTCCATCCCAAAGGGCATCTTTTCTTGGCATTGTTATGAACGCACAGCTCTACACCCACATTTTCATTAACGGCCAAGGGTGTGTTGCAAGAACGGCACAACTTTTTGCCTCGGAAGAATACCGGCTGCCTGATATGTATCTCAATATCCCCGAGCTGTGAAACGTAATACCTCGAGGTACGGGCTCAGAGATCACATTTTGCTTCCCATGTGAGTTTTCTTTATCTTGTTGCATTTGCAGTTGCGTAAAAAAAAAGAATAATCTATGATTTCTACATTCCACTTGATAACCTGCAGTAAGAATCAGCCACCTGTTTGAATCCAGGGCTTACCTTCGACCTAGTGATTATATCAGCAAGTCACTCACTGTCACGCTTTGAGTGCGTGCACACTCTGTATTATAGTACTGAAGTCTCCTGGGTCCACCAAACGATCAAAATAGTAAATTCAAGTAACTACATCTGGAAGTAAAAACAAAATCGGCAGAGACATTTAAGACTTTTTACGTGTGGAAATGCTAATGCCCGTGTGCCACTAGAGCGACAGACAGAAACAAACGACAGCGACAAGCCTCAAACTAAAGTCTTTCGCGATTTGAGAGACTTTCTGAAATAAAGAAGGCAATACTCAAACACGAGCATTATGCACGCGAGGTTATCTTTAGCAGGCTTGCAAACGCTCGTGCATACTTTATGAGCACCGAGCGTGCTGCATGGGTTTGAGGCTTGTCGTTGTCTTTTGTTTCTGTCTGTCGTTCTAGTGCGACACGGGCATAAAGGACATGACTCACGCACTAGACACAGCTTTAGTCAGCCAATAGCGTGGAGCCGCCGAGGCGTCGGGGGAGAGTGCTCGTCGCGCACCCCGGAGGCCCGGGTTCGATTCCCACTTAGACCGGAATGTATACAATTTTCTTTTCAAAGGCAATAATCTGCTTTGTTTACAGGAACCTCCCTTAGAAATTAGACGTCAATCTGAGCATTTTTTTACGTGTTTTTACTTTTGACCATGTCGGCCATTTTTGGTGCCAACGCTCGTGCACGCCGCCTAGGACGCCTGATTTTCGCGTAATGGGACATGTAATGCTTTCGCATAAAAAAAAAAAAAAAAGACCGCTTGAAGGTGTAGCGCAGCGTTTTTGAAATTTGGGCAATTAATTGGGAAAATCAGTCAATGTCAACACTTTGTGAGGGGCGCGAACTACAGAGGACTCTTCAGCAGCTGTCATCATCATCTCATGCGGCGTAGGGGTAGGAGAGACCGAGCAGGCTGTACAGATACCTAAGCTCTCCAGTTTGATTCAGCCGTCGTTTGGTAAAGGGGGAAAATCTACTTCACGAGCTATTTTTATTTGAGGAGTGATATTTCTGGTATATTGCATTTTATTCCGGCATGAGTACGCGGCGCGTGGTCGGGCTGATCAAACGCTTACTTTGCTGGGGCGACGAAGTGCCGGGATGGTGGTTGACTATTCTCTACCTTAGCACTAAAGCACTGGAAAATGAAATAGCATATCTAGCGCTTCACCCGAATACAACACCTACCACGGCGAACAGCCTGTAATTTTATTATTTTCCGATGGAATGAAAACTGAGGAAGGAATGCTTCATTGAGATGAAAATGGATTCTCCAAACTCGTCTTCAGAACCCCTAATCTACGGGTGTCGACATATCGAGGCATGCTTCATGCACAAAGCACCGCGCCTAACACCGCCAAAGGTCGCGGCGGAAGGCCATAGTCCAGACAAAAGAGAAAATGACCCGGGTCAATGGGTAGGGTAGCCAGGGGAAATAAAATGGTTTCGTTGAGTTCGGGTAGATGGCGTACCAGAAACTTCTGTCCCAGAATACGTGACATGGCGACCGCCAACCGCAACTGCAAATTAAAAGATATTATATATATTTTTTTTTGATTGCGCGGAGAACCATTGCATCGAGCTATTATGTGCACCCTATATAAACAAAAATGCGTGGATTAAGTAAGTATATAAATAACTTAATTAAAGCCTTTTATTCTTTTACTTTCCACTTTTTTTTGTTAAATGCATCGTCCAGGAGGCGTGGTCAATCACAGGTTTAAAAATCTTTGTGAAAACTGTTGTTTCCTAAAACCGTTTCTATATCTACCAATTTTTACTGTATCTCTGCTCCGTTTTGCTCCAAGTCCGACCGGAGCCGACGCTGAGATCAGATGAACCCAGATCAAGCAGCATCAAATGTGCATCGTCATGGTGCTCGTCCTCTTTGTGTTTTTGCTATCACCGACGAAGCCAATCACGCGCAGTGAATGCGCCGTGATTTTTTATGCGTGATAATTAGTTTAGTCGATGATTGCGAACACCCAGAAACGGCGAGCGCTGTGAAGATACACATTTGGTCTTGCTTGATTGGCTCCATCAAATCGTTGCGTAGGCTGCGGTACGACCTAATGCGAAACGGCGTAAAGACCCGCGTGACGAAGATCTCTTCTTAAGGGGACACTAGAAACCTCGAAAATGATATTTTTTTTTTGCTAGGAGATTTATTATACTGTTAGGAGACTACCCAATAAATATCTTGATACAGAGTCACGTACATCTTTTAATAAAGCCAAAAAACTCGCCTGCTCGAAACCGAAACCGAAACACGAGCACGGAAGCTCATGGCCGGAAATCACGTGGCTGAACCCGACCGCGTTCTTTTATTCCTCCGCTTCTCCGGTTTGGGAAGCAGACGACGGCGAGCACGACGACGACGCATTTGCGTGTACCGTTTATCGTGCGATTGTTTCGCTCTAGTGTCCCTTCCGCTCGATGTTCTGTGCTCGAAGATCGATTGGACGGTGCCAGGAACGCCAGTTCCTAAGTAGCGGTCCTACGTCCGTCGTAACGTTCGTCCGTCGTGCACCGCCATCGCGTCGTCCAGCCCGCTGCACGTCGCCATATTCATAATGGCGTGTACACGTACCACCTGGGATCTGTGCAACATTTTTTTTATTAACTTATGTGCAGTTTTTGGAGGCCACAAAAATAAAGTTAATATTCTTTTCCATCCTTAATATTAGATGTGTTCCTTAGGCAACCCAGGACATTGAATATAGTTGCTACACATGGTTTGAACACCACGTGTCCATAAAAAAGAGCTATAGCGTCTGAAACCGGCCACTTCTCGACCGGCTGTTTTTTTGGGCGGAAAAAAAAAGAATTTCGAGCGGCAAATTGTGTTAAGCGGAGTTGGGCTCTGATAGGTCCTATTCACATAAAAACCTCGGCAAGCATAAATACTTCGTCGACTGTACCTTTAAGCCCGTTACCTGATTCATCAATCTTACCCCATCCGTAACCGATGTCCACGTAGGGTGACAGCGGAGGACCCGTGGTCCACAAAGCCAACGGTACCTGGACCCTGCACGGCATCGTTACTGGCGGTCCTATCGTCTGCGGTTCAAACGCGGACCCGCTGTTCTTCGCCAAGACATCTTACTACGTGGACCACTTCATCCAGCCGTACATGGACCCGCGTACGCCTCGGAGGGATATTAGGAAGATCTGCAGGCTCACCTAAGGTGTTTATTTTTGCAAGCTGTGATTTTGCAATAAACATAATGGCGTGCTGTAATTTCTGTATTGTGTATTTGGACTTGAGCAAAAGAGTAATCGGCGAGTGACGGTATTTTGGGGCACAGTGCGTAGCATAAGAGAAATACCCGAGGGTAACAAAAGCTGTGTGTTTTAGGTCAATGTATGAGAAAGCAACTTGTTCAGTTCCAGCATTTTGTTATTATCAGCACTACGCTTCTTTTATTGTCGCTGACAGTTTAAGAAACACCCGGCGTGTCGAGTTCCGTGCTTAATAATATTGATGTCTAGCCGGTGAGATTGTAGTATCAGACAATGAGAGCGCGAAACATTGAGTCGCGAAGCAGGAAGCGATAATATATGCCGTGTCCTGTGTTTCTTAAGCTGAGAGCGACTATCGCTGAAAATGGCGGATGCACCTGCGTCCTCTTGCGTAAATGGATATGTTGTACAAACTTTAAAAAAAACAAATCCCGCGGGAGACTTACAATGTTTACGTTTCTTTCTACGCGGTTTGATCTTGTGGCTTTCTCACCAGCTAACACCGAAATCTCGTTGTCCATTGAGTGATAATAAGAGGCTTAGAACTTGCTGCGGCGCACCACTGTTCCTGATTGAATAGTTGATGTTATGATGTCGAGTGTCTGTGTTAGACAGGCCGAGCCGAATTCAGAAATTATGAGCGTGTAATAATTTTTCTTGTGCCTGAAAGACAACTTTGCACCTCGTCGCTGGACCTCTGGTAACGTGTTATATTCCGAACGAATGTAAGCTGAGTTCAACGTTCTTTCCGGTGGATAGGCCTTCATATGTTTCTGGGTACATCCAGGCCTACTTCATATCATGCCGAATCTCACGGCAGGTGATGCAGTTAATTAAAAACAAAATGAGTGACTTACTGTTTGCACTTTCTTTAGTCCCCGTTTACTGTGCGCTGTTTGCCTTTTCGTCAGTGTGAACCAACTAACCCACATCGCCACCCTTTTCCAGCCAAGCCCTATTTGGGAACCCTACGTTTCGATGCCTACTCGGCTCTTCTTGAGGGGTGACTGTGGTGATAGCACTTGAGGAGCAGCGTTAACATAAAAAATAATGGTACCACCGTAAAAGAAGCCGAAAACAAAAACACTGCCCCTCAACGGCTATCGCCAGAGTAACCTCTGAAGAAAAGCTGAGTAGGCATGAAAATATAGGGTTCTCAATTCTGATTGACGTCGCCAATTTGTTTTTTTTTCTTCTTTTTTTTATATATTATTTTATGCAACTAGCCTGATTTCAGTCGAATGTTCACGTTCAGGTGATACACTACATGTCTGAAGGTTTGAGCTGGTTCCTGAGGCGTCTATGAGGCTGTAAAACTCAAATTGAAGTAATCACGCCTCAATACTAGTGAAGTGTGCACTAAATGTGGGCGATGATTTCAAGAGATTGTAGCCCATGTTTGAGGAACACTAATACGGTCCCCCCGCCCCCCCCCCCCCATTCTAAATTCAACTCATCATAATGTTCAGTGGTGTTTAATGGCTACTTGATAGACATTCTAGAAGAGTTTTTGTTGTTCAAAACGTTTAAATTAGGTATAGGAGGGTACGTCGCGGCTGGTTGCAGGCCTTGCCGCGAAGGGGAAGAGGAGAGGAATATGAGGGAGGGGAGGGGGGAGGGAGAACTATATGAGGCCGGCTACACAAGCCGTTCTGATGTCAGCCAATAGCGAGTCGAAGACAAGCTTCCTTGCTTCGTTGGGCCTGTTGGTGCCCTCCAAAAGCCTCTAGCGTCTTGGGTCGGCTCGCAGGGCTGAGCTTGACTAGTGTAGCCTCCCATTCCTGCTGCCTTGTAGAGCACTCCCACAGCAGGTGATGCGGAGCGGCGAGAGATGCTGAAGGATGGTCATTAGAGGCTGTATGGGGGTAAGGCCCAGATCCTTTCGGCCTAGACCTGAAGTGGGGCTCATACCGCAACGGTCAGAACCGTTGCGGTACTAACGCCACCTCACCTCAGTAGTAGTATTATGGGAAGCAATTGTGTGAACACAAAATAAACACCCACACAATAGCAGTGAGGCACCAAAGCCCCTCATGCTAGTCATCGACGTCCCCCTTTCTCACGTTAAATAAAATATAATAAACAGATGGGTGAGCTCACCTCTTTTTTTTTTGCGTAAACACTGCAAGAGAAAGTGAACGACTGAAATTTCGCTTCTGCGATTAGAGCAGCTGTCCCAGTGAGGCACACTGGCGAACGAAACAATATAAACAATAATTTTTACGATATATTATTACATTATCTCTTTTAAAATCTTTCTAAAGCATGTGAATTCCATTAATGGACCATCCTAGTTCGCTTTCTGTGTATGCCTGCGTAGAGAACCGAAGCCTCAGGAAGTGAGCAACTTTCCCTGCAGATGTTACGTGGTCAAGGTTTCTAAGACACTTAATGACGCTAAGTCCGAGGCCAGCCTTGCTAAGAAAAATACCCCAGGGAGATATAGTCACCTTCGAGGCAGTGACTAACGCGGAAAATCAGTGAATCAAGACTCTGGCCTCGGTATATGTTAAACACAAAAATGTCCAACTTACAAAACTGCAGCAAGTTTCACAACAAGTAGCATCAATATGCACCTTAATGTTAACATGTGTTCTTTAGCTTGCCAAATTCTCACTTCCCACGTCAAAAAAAGTTTAATCATGGAAATAAGCAAAGGTGGAGTATTACGCAATGGCAGACAAAATTTTCAGAATGAACATGAAAGATTCGAGTTCTTAGAAAGGAGCGTGACCATCATAAGCCACATCATGCGGGTCCTAAAACTGTCGCTGACTTTTTCTCGCCAAGCTCTTGGGCGAGGCAATCCTTGCAATATAAGAAATGAAGCTCGCGTTGAGTGGCATGGCTGAAAATGTGTTTTGAACTGAACAAACACTCTGCGCTGCGACACTGAGCTTGATATTTGAGCTGCTTTTATGCCACGCTCGGCGTTACTGCCAAGACGTTTTTTGTTTAGTTCAAGACATGTGTTCAGCCTCTTCACGCACTGGACTCTTCAATTGGATCACTCGAGTGCTTTGCGGGAAAAAATAGGAGCGCCAGATTTTTTAATGCGTACGAAGTGAGGAGACTCCAGAACCGCACTCAGGACAACTCAAAAGACCTACGCTAGTTTCTTGTACCTACGAGAAAGCTCTTTTTTTTTTTTTTTGTTATGATCGCTTCAAGTCCAAATGAGATTGGGGCATAGCCGATGAGAACGCCGAAGAACGAACCGCCCAGCGAAAAATTGTCAACATATTAGGCAATGTTCCGCGTTTCTGAAGTTTTCGGTGACCTTTGAAGGCGAAGGTACTTCCATTCAGTAAACAAGTATGATTATTTTAATCTTCCTAAAATACGAGGTAATCTTTTTTCTCTCTCACAATCTTCTTCTCTAAAACGTAAAACAACAAAATAAATGATGATTAGTTATATGTTTACGGATTAACAAATCAACATCTTGTCAATAATTGTGATGATTGCCTCAGTCAAGACTGATTTGGTATAATCACAGATAGATAAATAGAAACGCAAGACGTAGCTTTTTATGTTCGCAATTTTTACTTTGTAGTGATCCTTGGGCTCTAACGTGCCCCCAAAAACTTCACAGTTCGTTTCATCGCAAATACAAATTACGCTTCGCCGAACGCTCAGTTTCCCCCCAAATGTAACGCTATCAGTCCGAACCAGGTGACAAACTTTCAACACCAACCGTTATATTATTAAACCGTTAAAACTCATCTTTTAATAAGTCCATTTGGAAAATGGTGTTCGTTTTTGCCCGATTTTCAGTGACTGGCGCCATAGAGCTCCGTGTATTCGTGTGCACTGTCGGCCGCCACTTTCCCATTGCAAATTTAAGAAAATCTCGTATAACGTGTGAATAAAATAACAGTAAGCGCTGAAAATTTGGATCTGGTTTGGACTGCTCGCGCTCAGTTGAGCTAAAAATGGGGGTTCGCCGATGTCTAGTTAATTTTCTCGCTGAATAAAACCATGTACATTTTTTTTTTTGCACGCCCTCTATTGAGCTGCTAATGCCGCATCATATTTGCTGGCGGAATGATAATAAAAATATTGTGAATGGGGACGCCCTGTATTTCTTAGGCTGTCAGCGACTAAAGCGACCGAAACACGCTTACTAGATTGCGTACGCAATTAACCAACTTCAGCAATGGGCAGACGTCAAAGCGGGATGCGGAATTGCGAGGTGTGGTGTTGGTAACCACCTGTAACCATTACAGACAGTACTTGTAAAAAAAGCGTCCTACACACAAGGCTTCAAAATGATTCTCAATATGCTTGCAAAAACGTGTTTCGCAACATCCGATCGCGAAGGAACGGCCAGAATCGAGGACTCATTGCCGCTGCTTTAGGTACTTAAGGAGCCCCTCCTCTTCCTAGCCCTGATTAATTACTTGGGCGCCCCACGTGTTCTTGTACACGCGCGTTTTCCTGCGTTGCGCCAGGTCAAGCAAGTGCTGTTCAAGCTCAAAAACAGCAAACAAACATATAGCAAATTACTTCTTGTTTGTGAGCGTCCACCTGAGCCCAGCTCTAACGCACAAACACATGGTTGTGGTGAAACCCGTTCGGCGACCAGGCTTTTCAGGAGCGCGATAGAGAACAAAAAGGAAAGAGTGGGCGAAGTCTTTAACAGATATAAAAAAAGATCACTGATTCTGCGAGATGAGGCCTACAGCCAAGAAAAAAAAGAGAAGGAAAGATATGGTAGCTGGCCCTGGGGACCGCACCATGTGCGAGGTCTCCCAAAGCGTTCTCAAGTGTCTCAGAAACTGGACGCCTTAAATACGGCTCCGCTGGTAATGAACTGAAGAGATCGTAATCCGCGAGATGGCAATCCCCTCAGCGCTGCTGTTCCTGATGTTATCCACGTCTTGCGCACTGACTCAAAATGGTGAGTGAGTTTTCTACACAATAGACAATTCGTGTAGCCTGTGAAATTTCATATTGAAGGTTTTAGGTCTGTAAGATAAACATGAACATTCGGAT